TTTAGGGGTTTAGGGGGTTTAGGGGTTTAGGGGTTTAGAGGTTTAGGGGTTTAGGGGTTCAGGGGTTCAGGGGTTTGGGGGTTTAGGATTTAGGGATTATCATTTTGGGTTTTGGGTGTTTCGCGCCTTGTGAGGGTTAGAAGGATTCTTGGCCTAACTCGGGCAGGCAGGGTTCTTGGGGTGATTACGGCGTTTCGCGACACTAGGGCTTAGGGGTTCGAAACTGTATGGGTTTTGGGGGGGTCTGATGTGGCTTATGAGGTTTACGAACATAGGGGGCCCCTAAAATACATCCCCACATAATAGGCTTCCCTTGTAATAACTTAGCTGTCCAGTACCTAGGGGTTCTAAAGGTTAACCTTTGGGATTCTAAGGGGAATCTACTAACCCAAAAAGGTTAAAGGTTACCTACTCTACTACTAAGATAAGGACCCCAATAAGGTACCCTTCATAGGCCTCTCGGGTCAGGGTTTCTGGGGTCTAGGGTCTGCGTTTTAGACTTCAAGGTTCGGGGGTCACGCTGAAGGCTTCGGGGGTTGAGAGGCTTTAGGGTGTCGGGCTGTGCCTCACCCTAAAACCCTTAACCCTAAACCCTAAAAACCCGCAAAAAACCCCTGAACACCCCTAAGCCCTAAACCCTAAACCCTAAACCCTAAACCCTAAACCCTAAACCCTAAACCCCCAAAGTGGCAACCCCCACAAAAACAGGCCCTAAATATCTCCACCCAGACGTCTCCGCGGCACCGGAAGAGGAGGCGCGCAGCTTCGGCGTATTCACCTCGGCCCACCTCGAACTCCAGCCTTGCCAGAAGGGTTTAGGGTATAGGGTTTAGGGCTAGGGTTTAGGGTTTAGGGTTTAGGGTTTAGGGTTTAGGGTTTAGGGTTTAGGGTTTAGGGTTTAGGGTTTAGGGTTTAGGGTTTAGGGTTTAGGGTTTAGGGTTTAGGGTTTAGGTTCTAGGGTTTAGGGTTTAGGGTTTAGGGTTCAGGTCAGGGTTTAGGATGTTGCAGTTTAGGGTGTAGGGTTCAAAAGGGATCATGTGGCCCCATCGCGCGGTCTGTTTCGACTCAAGCAGCGACACGTCACCATGACGGTAGATTTTCCCTATAAACCCTAAACCCTAAACCCCAAACCCAAAATTCCACGCTAAGACCCCCTCTCAAACCTCATGCATCACGCAGGTGACAGCCGAACTGCGGATCCGAGCATCCATGTGGGCAGCGATACAACTATGATCCCGCGTGCGGTTTAGGGTAATACTACGCAGTCTCATATTTCGTGTGCCGCAAAAACGGATTTAGATCGACAAGGTCAAAGGCACCTGACTTTTTGAAACTCGGTATAGCCATCCGCGACATTATGTAGAGGCGCACCCGACCCTCAAGCCTTTAGCTCCTCAACCCCAAAGCTCCCGAAACTCTAAACCCTGAACCCTAAGACCTGAGCCCTAAATCTTAAACCCTAAGCCCTAATTCCTAAGCCCCCAAGCCCATTCCAGCCCTCCCACTGCGCTGGGCCTTGACCACATGGGCTTCTCCAAGCGCCAGTACTCCAGCACGGCCTTGCAACAGACTAAACCTAAACCCTCAACCCTTTAAACCCTGAGCCCTGAGCCCTGAACCCTAAACCCTAAACCCGAAACCCTAAACCCTACGTTCGGGGACTCAGGGTGTTGGAGTAGTGGGTAAGCTCTGGCCCTTGCCTCGCGATGGCGGTGCCGCACGGGGTAGCCGGCCCTGCTGACACGGATTGCCTGCCGGGTTTAGGGTTTAAGGTTTAGGGCTTAGGGTGACCTAAACCCCAGAAGTGGAAACCTGAAACCTCAGATCAACCTTCGCAGCGAATCCCAGCCTTCAACACCTCGTGCACTGGGGCGGGGCTCGAGGTCCCTAAGCTCGTTTTGTGACGCACAACACCTCTAGACCCTCTCAGTACCCGCCCGGCCTAAAAGCCTCTAAGTTTACAAAACCTCTAGACCCTCTCAACCTAAACCCTAAACCCTAAACCCTAAACCCCAAACCCCAAACCCCAAACCCTAAACCCTAAACCCTAAACCCCAAGTCTCAGACCTGGCTTGGACGTGCAGTCCCGGGGTCCTCAAAATCCCCAAAGCTTGGCCCAGCAAAGATCCACCTAATGACCTCGGGGGTTTGTTAGGGATATGTGTTGAGTAGACAACGGGAAAACGGGATTTCACAGGGCAAGGGGCAAGCTGCCTCGGGTTGTGTTGAGTAAGGGTTTAGGGTTTAGGGTTTAGGGTCTAGGGTCTAGGGTCTAGGGTCTAGGGTCTAGGGTCTAGGGTTTAGGGTTTAGGGTTTAGGTTTTAGGGTTTAGGGTTTAGGGTTTCGGGTTTAGGGCTTGAGGTTGAAGGTCTCAGCATGGCCTCCAAAACGCCCTGGTATCTCAGCTGCTCCACCACCGAACTTCTGTGCAAGACCTGTCAGGCGCCAAGCGCGGGTAACAGCGGACAGCCTGATCAACAGATGAGTTTCGACTGATAGTTCTCCCAAAAGTCCCTAAACCATAAGCCATAAACCCTAGGCCTAAACCCTAGACCCTAAATCCTATATCAGCCACGATACTTCCACACGGGAGTACCTACGGAGGCCAAAAGCCCAAGAAGATTCAACCTTTGAAGCCAGGCTACCCTAAATCCTAAACCCTAAACTCCCAGGTGCCTGCGGCTTGTTCTGCGGGTTTGGCTTGATGCACCTCCGGGTTTTTAAGGCTGGGGGGGTTTGGGGGGTCTTGCGGGGGTTTAGGGGGTGTTAGGAGTGTTGGGGGCTTTGGGTGTGGGGGCTTTTGGGGCTTGAGGGTGTGTCTTTATAGGGTTTTCGGGTTCTCGTCTGCTTTGGCTCCGGCAATCGACGCTTCGCGGAGTCCGAACGAAGCCCAGATCTGGGATACTTTCTCATCGTTTTGCCTAATTCTAAACCCTAAACCCTGAACCCCAAACCCTAAACCCCAAACCCTAAACCCCACCAACCCGAAACCCCAAACTCAGCCTGATGAAGTGGGGCGTCGTCGATCGCACGCTGGCCATCAGCTCCCGCAGCTGTTGCCGGAATCTTGGGTTGAGGGTTTGGGGTTCAGGGTTAGGGTTTAGGGTTTAGGGTTTAGGGTTTAGGGTTTAGGGTTTCGGGTTTCGGGTTTAGGGTTTAGGGTTTAGGGTTTAGGGTTTAGTAGGGTTTGGGGTTTAGGGTCTAGGGTTTCGGGTTCAGGGTTTAGGGTTTTCGAGGTACAGGGTTTAGCTGGGGTTGCTCTTGGACTTTAGAGTTCAGGGTTTGGGTTTCAGGGTCTAGGGCTCTCAGGGTTTAGGGTTTCTCGGGCTTGGGAATTAAAGGTGAAGATCCCGAGTTCTGACACACGAAAGCTCTGAACCCAAGACCTTGCTAAACCGCAAGTGCTTAGGGCTCATAATGAGGTTCATAAGTGCAAGCCAAAACAAACCGAAAACCTAATTAACCCCTAAACCCTAAACCCGCTGCACCCAAACCCTAAACCCCCTAAACTCCCTCACCCCCCTCATCCAACTAACCCTCTAAACTCCTTAAAACTTCTGAGCCCCCTAAACACCCAAAACTGCCTAAACCCCCTAAAACGCCCTGAAGCGTTCAACTCCGGGAGCGAGAGAGGCTCAAGGGAGTAAACCCTAAACCCTAAACCCTAAACCCCAAAACCCTAAACCCTAAACCCTAAACCCTGAACCCTAAACCCTAAACCCTAAACCCGAAACCCTAAACCCTAAACCCTAAACCCTAAACCCCAGGACCGAGAGGCTCCAGGGAGACGGAGTAGGCCTTGGCCTTGGTCACGCGGCCGGTGGACGCCTCCGTCTGTGTGCCGAAGCTGCGACCCTCCTCTGCAGGTTTCAGGTTTAGGGTTTATGGTTTAGGGTTTAGGTTTTAGGGTTAGGATTTAGGGTCTTGGGTTTAGGGTTTAGGGTTTAGGGTTTAGGGCGAAGCTGAGACCCTCCTCTGCAGATTTGGGGGAGGGGCGCTGGAGGATGCTAAGGGTTTAGGGTTTAGGGTTGGGGTTTAGGGTTTAGGGTTTAGGGTTTGGGGTTTGGGGTTTAGGGTTTGGGGTTTAGGGTGTAGGGGTTTAGGGGGATTTAGGAAGTTCAGTGTTTAGGGCTTAGTGTTTGGGGTCTCCGAGACTTTCTCACAAGCCCATGGCTTCACAAAATGCGGATCGGCTCCAGGTAATGTCCGTAAACTCTCACATGCTCGTACGTTGAGGAGCTCATGAAGTTCCCTGAACGCAGGGGGGGTCCTTTTTGGAAGGCCCAGCCCCACGTCGGTCCTCCTGAAAGCGACTTCGGAGGAAGTCGCTGGAGCTGGCTTTCATGCTCTCGATGGCATCCGGTGATAGAGTGTCCTTGTTCCTCAGATCCGCAAGCCCCTATCCACTAAACCCTAAACCCTAAACCCTAAACCCTAAACCCTAAACCCTAAACCCTAAACCCCCTAACCTATAGAAGCACAGAGACATGTGGGGGCAAAGCCTGCAAAAAGAGAAGTCCAGTCGGTTGATGCCCGAGCCCGGCAGCGAAATTCGGGGAAAAAGGGGTTTAGGGTTTAGGGTTTAGGGTTTAGGGTTTAGGGTTTAGGGTAGAATTCCCTCAAAGCCGACTCAAAGCCCTCTGTGACAGCTGGTGCAGAAGACTCAACCTCATAAGACCCCTCTATAGAACCCCGGGAAGGGGGGTTTAGGGTTTAGGGTTTTGGAGTTTAGGGTTTAGGGTTCAGGGCAGCTAGTTCCGGCTAGCTGCTTGAACAGGAAGTCGCGGGATTCGTACTCCACCGCGCCGGCGAAGTGGTTCACCAGGAAGTTTCCGCGTCTCCGCATCACCACCTCATGGGCGCTGCCCAACATACCCTTAACCCTAAACCCTAAACCCTAAAGCCTGAAGCCTGAAGCCTGAACCCCCAACCCTAAACCCTAAAACCTAAACCCTAAACCCTAAACCCTGAACCCTAAATTTTCGAGCTTCGGTTGAGGGTTCTGGGCTTGCAGGCACACAAGTTTCAGCAGCCACACCCCCAAACTCAACCCCAAAGTCACCCCGACACTCAACATCGGGCTTGAATGTCTAGGGTTTGGGGTTTGGGGTTTAGGGTTTTGGATTTTGGGTGTAGGGTTTGGGGTTTAGGGCTGAGGGTATCGTTGCCGGGCATGCCTGGAAAATCTGGTGGCCCTTGTACTTGGAAGATAGCCTGGAGAAGCAGCAGGACTGCCATGGAATCATGCTTCGGCTCTGCAGAGGCTTCTAGAGTTTAGGGCTTAGGGCTTTTTCAGCTGGATTCACTGTAAAGCGGGGAGGATTCGCCCTCCAGCGGCCGCGAAACTAGATCACTCCCTTTTAAGCACCCAACCCTTGCTGACACGATGCCGCCCACCTAACAAGAGCCTTAAAGTCATTAGGGTGCAGTCGGGTTTAGGGTTTAGGGGTTCGGGGTCAGGGTTGGTTGAGGTTTAGGTTTAGGGTGCTTCTGCAGGCTGTTCCGTCAGAGACCCAGCACATTCAACCCGCGAATCACCTGCTTCACACCTTAAGGGTCGGCAGGAGTGTAGGGCCTCTATTGAAGTGGGACGAGGGTTTAGGTTTAGGGTAAGACTTTAGGGTCTTATGTAAACCCTAAACCCTAAACCCTAAACCCTTAAGCCCCAGAGCCCTAAAACCCTAAAACCCCAAAACCCAAAACCCCCTTCTGTGAGCTACAAGCTTGGCAGCTTGTTGAACCAGCCGGTGGAGCTGCCACCAGGGAGGTTTCCCTCCTGTGCAGATGCCGGTGGGCCCAACAGTTGGGCAACTCCGAGACCCTGAACCTTGAACCCTCAGTCCTAAACCCTAAACCCTAAACCCTAAACCCTAAACCCCAAACCCTAAACCCTAAACCCTAACCCCTCTGCAACATGGGATTTTGGGGTCGCGTCTTGCCAAAGCTCCTCATCCAACATGGGGAGGAGGCCCTCCAGAGAAAGCCCGCGGGGCGCTTGTATGCTTCCTGAGAGGTTCAGACCAAGGCTGTTGAAGAGCTGGGGCTTAGGGTTTAGGGTTTAGGGTGTAGGGTTTAGGGTTTAGGGTGTAGGGTTTAGGGTTTAGGGTGTAGGGTTTAGGGTTTAGGGTCTAGGGTTTAGGGTTTAGGAAACCCCAAACCCCCCAAAGCCGTCATCTCTGATCATTACGACTCTAGCATCGGCCCTATGTGCCCTAAGCCTTACCCCCGCGATAACCCTATAAATCCCCAATCGCTGGGTGCAGGGTTTAGGGCTTGGGCTTATAGGACCCGAGTCCTCTACTCAACACTAAGCCCTAAGCCCTAACCCCTAAACCCGAAACCCTAAATCCTAAACCCTGAACCCTAAACCCTGAACCCTAAACCCTGAACCCGAAACCCTAAATCCTAAACCCTACGCCCTCAACCCTAAATCTAGACAAAGCGGCCAATCAGGTCGACAATATCTTTGTTGTCGGGGAAGTCCAGCGGATCCCAGCTCACACCCTCCTTGGCGTAGAGGGCCGCCTCGAATTCGAAGATCACTTCGTTGAAGTGCTGCTGGAGCAGCTCCTGAGTCGTTGCTTTTTTGGTTAGGGTTTGTGGGTACTTTAGGTCTAGCCCTAAACCCTAAACCCTAAACCCGAAATTAAACGCTAACCCCTAAGCCCCAAGCCCTAAACCTACCAACTCCCGTAAAGTCGAGTTTTCGGGCAGGGATGCCCTTGAGGGTCCTGAACCGACACACTCCCGAGCCAGTTGGGAGGGTGAGGGAAGCACTGAAAAGTTTGGCTTTTAAGGTTCATGGCTTTAGGGTCTTAAGGTTTGTTGGTTTAGGGTTTTAGAGTCTTAGGGTATATAGGTTTAGGGTTTTAGGATCTTCGGGCTTGTGGGGTTTATGAGGTTGTAGATTTCATGATCTTCGGGTGATTCAGTCCTTAGGAGTTTGGGTTTTAGCGGTGCCCCGGCTCATTGCGTTCAGCGCGGAAATATTCCGGCCGACGATTGCGCAAACTTGGGGCGTGGGGGCAACCAGAACAGCATGCTGGTGCAGTCTTTCTAAGGTTAGTTCTGTGGGCCCTTGATCTGGTGCCGTACCCCCTTTAAAGGGTTCTGAAGTATGGGCGCTTGGGTTTTTGTAGGGTATATAAGAGGTATGGAAAGGGGTCCCCTTTTAAGGGCCCATACTCAGGGACCACCGCCTTCGAGTCTTGGCTTACTTCGAGGGTTTAGGGTTTAGGGATATGCGTTTTGCGCGGGTAGTTACAAACGCGGCAATAAGAAGCCAAAATAAGGCAAGGATCAGTGGAAGCCCTACTGGAAACCACAGTTGTGATGTATGACGCACCGGGCGCTTGGCAAAACAATGCGAAGTCGTGTCTAGCATGGCCTCGCCACCTTGCTCTTCCCGAAGAAGCCAAGCATCATTCGTAAAGTTGATGCACAGCTGCTCGAACGAGTTCTTTTCCTTGGACAGGAATTTTCATCTGGCAGAACTGCTACACGCTGGATCCGGCAGATAAACGTCGTCAGTCAATGAGGTTTGTGCGGTGCTTGCGGTCTCCGGCAGCACAGTTCTGCCTGCATGGTTCAGCAACCTGTCTGGCCAAGAGGCGAAGAACTCAAAACCAAAGATGTCCAAAACCTGGGCTGCGCTTAAGATCTGGGGTTTAGGATTTCAGAACTTAGGGTTCCAAAAGCCTGAACCCTAAGCCCGAAAACCTACAAACCCTAGACCCTTGGTCACAAAAGCAAGTCTAGACACAACCATGCACCGACATACACGCACTCTCTCTCTCTCTCTCTCGCTCTCTTCGTTTCTTTCTCTTCTTTGTGTCTCTCTCCCTCTCTGCAACTGCGGTTTAGGGTTCGGGGGAGCTGAACATCGTCTGCTTGGCGTCATCTAAGATAGCGTAAAGTTTAGAGAACACGCAAGCCCAACCTAAAGTAGCCAGCAACCTAGTATAGATATTTGACATATACGTATACATATATATCCACATATATATATATATGTGTGTATATATATATAATTACATATGTGTATTTCTTGCTTATTCATTCAGAGGGTTGGGAGTTAGGCGTAGGGCGCTGGCCTTGAGGATGGGGAACTGCCTGAATCAACGAGAATATCTCTTGCTGATGTGGCCTTTGGTATTCCGGCTAGAGCCTAAACTCCCAAACCCTACAAGCTCTAAACCCGAACGACCCTAATCCCCAGGCGCTAAACGCCCAAAACCCGATAAAACCGCAAGCCCCAAGCCCTAAACCCGATAATGCTGAACCCTCAGCCCTAAACGCGAAAGTCCTAAACCCTAAGCCCGAAATCCGAAACCCTAAACCCTATACGCCCGAAAACCCCACCATTGCCGAGGAGCCCCCACATAAGGCTGTGCCGAGACAGGAAGTCGCCCGGAGCTCGGGGACAGGGCGTCGTTGATGCGACGGACTATGTACCTGCTCAGTCCTAAACCCTAAGCCCTCAACCCTGAACCCTAAATCCTAAACCCTAAGCCCGAAAAAATGCAATATGGAGCCGAGGAGTTTGCATGCTTAGGGTTCATGGCGTAGGAGCTTCGGGGTAGGGGTTTCGGGTTCAGGGAGTGTCGCTTCAACCTCCGAGCGCCGCAGAACACAAAGCCTCGACCAGAACCTTAAACCCTAAACCCTAAACCCTAATTAAACCCTAAACCCTAAACCCTAAACCCTAAACCCTAAACCCTAAACCCTAAACCCTATATCTTCAAGCCCAGGACCGCCGCCAAGAGGCAGAAAGATTGAGCCGTAGAGGTGCCGGGCTAAAGCATCCCGCCCCTCCATGGCCTCTGAAAGACTGGTCGGTTTGTCAGGGCTTCTGGCTTCGGGCTTATAGGGCTTGGGGCTTGGGGCTTGGGGGCTTTGGGGGCTTTGGGGGCTTTGGGGGCTTTGGGGTTTCGGGGTTTGGGGTTTGGGGTTTGGGGTTTGGGGTGTCAAGTATCCCAAGGGCGAACCTAGCATGCCAACTCCTGAGGGCGGCAGCATGCGACAAACAAGTCCAACTACTGAGCGTGTGCACCAAGAATTCGGGGGCCGGGGCCGTTTGCCGGCATGGGAAAACTTTAGACGGCAAGCTTCGGTGCAACGTCCGCCTCCTTTTCATGCAATTCCAAGCCCTAAACATTGTCAAGAGCGTAGTGCTGCGCGCTCAGGGTGGAAATTCAGGGGCCGGATGCTCAAACCATACACTGTACGCTAAACCACTGAACCCTCGGAACCCTCTGATCCCTTAAATCTTGAGCAAAGGATAGGAACACAAGGCACGCAACAACTCAACTTGCTCCAGCAATGCAGAGGTTATGATATGAACAATCAGCAGAAGCAGAACCAATTTGGATGCACGATCTTGAGAACGATCTACAAGTAAACAAGTACTGCACACATGTATACGAATGCATAACATGCATGTTGCCCATACACAAACTTTATGAAGGCATATATGTCGAGTCTGGGTTTAAACGCTACACCCTAAACCCTAAACCCTAAAACCCTATGTCCGCCTTATATATGTTCTCTATTGGAGGCAAAGGCTCTCCATCCTTTGAGCCGAGCCTGAACCACGGTCCTTGACTGGGTGATTGTCTGCCGGGCGTAGCGCTCTCCTACGACCTCCGCTGCGTGCCCGAGCTTTCGAGGGTCCCCGGGCGTCACGTTCGGGGTTTAGGTCTTGCTCAGGGTGCTGAAAGCCAGGAAAAGGCATAGCCAAGTACATGTTTACTGGTCTACCTTGATGCAGGTTGACGAGATACTTGCACAAGATCCTGGTGTCTGCAAGACTCAACCGGCCAGCCAAAGCCCTCGGCCCTGAACTGGTTGAGCTTTCTGGCTCGCAGGCAAGCTGTGAACCGAAGCATTGAGTCACTAGTGTTAAGCCGATCAGAACACTACACTATATAAACCTCATCCAAGGCCTTAGGATTTCGGCAAGTTCGGAATTGAGCTCTCTGGTCATGGAGGCTCTTCTTGATGTGCTGTGAGTGACACAACAAACTCTCGACGATGCCAGCTATACGAAGCCCTAAACCCTAAACCCTAAACCCTAAACCCTGAATTCCTGAAGTATCTCCAAGGAAAGAGTCGAACACACTGGGAGGCGGAACCCAAACGGAGACAGGATCAGCTACCACCATCCCCCGTCTAGCCAAAAGTACCTACTTAGGATGAATTAGGGAAGAACTTTTGGGATGGGTTTAGGGTTTAGGGTTTAGGGTTTAGGGTTTAGGGTTTAGGGTTTAGGGTTTAGGGTTTAGGGTTTAGGGTTTAGGGTTTAGGGTTTAGGGTTTAGGGTTTAGGGTTTAGGGTTTAGGGTTTAGGGTTTAGGGTTTAGGGTTTAGGGTTTAGGGCTTAGGGTTTAGGGTTTAGGGTTTTGGGTTTAGGCTCTAGGGTCTCGGGTTTAGGATTTCGGGTTTAAGGCCAGGAGTGTAGGGAGGGCGAAGAAGGATCCTGTGGAAATCCCCCCCCCCCCCCCCCCCCCTAAACCCAAACCCTCAACCTAAACCCTAAACCTAAACCCTAAACCTAACCCTAACCCTAAACCCTAAAACCCTAAACCCTAAACCCTAAACCCTAAACCCTAAACCCTAACCCTCCTGCCTGCATCTTCCGCAAGCAGAGCATCGCCTCGAGCTGATCCATCTCCACTCCCAACCTCGGGGGGGGGGGGGGGTGTTAGGGCGTTGTTAAGGGCTGTTAGGGTTTGGGGTTTTAGTTTTTGGGGTTTTGGGCTTCAGGGTTTGAGGGTTCTAGGGCGTTAGGGCTCTAGGGTGTTAGGGTTTAGGGTTTGGAGGAGGGACTTCTATCATAAACACATCAAGTACTCAAGCCCTGAGCCCCGAAACTTCAAAACCCTCAAGGCACTAAGCTTTAAACCCAAACCGTGCTCGTCACATGTCTACATCTATCTCCATATGCGTGTCGTTACTTCCGAGCACGGCTGCTTTTGGTCGGGGACGGAGTTTTTGGGGTGCTTTGGAAAGCTTGGGGGCTTAGGCTCGGAGTTTCGGTTTGGGGGCTTAGGGTCAAGGGTTTGGAGTTCAACTGAGTTTTAGGACCAAGTAGCAGGTCACTCGCAAAGGCAAGGCAGCCGTCAGATTTCGAAGCAGCACTCACCTGCCATCGAGTTGCTGGCACTAGATTGCTTAGGGTTTAGGGGCCTCATGAGGTTGTTCAAGTATATATAGTTTTGAGGTGCTACGCCGTACTAATCCAAAACCTCGCACCCGAAATCCCAATTAACTTGTCTGGCGTTGGCTTCGAGGCTTTGGTCTGCTGTAGCCATCCGGCAGCACCCCATTCCTGAAAGGCCGAAAAGCCCCCCCAAACAAGCCCAAATGCCGACAATGACAACTCACATTACGACAGATGACCAGTATGCCTGTGTACTAGAAGCTCTCCAGAGTATCATAGGTTTGGGACTGGTAGAGTGTGTGTGTGTGTGTGTGCGAAATAGAAAACATTCCTTAATCAGGATGAATGCCATACTAACCCATCCCCCAGCAAAGGCCCTACCTTTGAAATTACCTGAAGCGTTAAGAAACACAAAGCCCTACAAGCACTATAAGCCATATAAGCCCTTCTAGGCCTATGAACATGAAAAGAAAACAAACCCAAAATCCATAAACACATAAAACCCTACAAACCCGAACCCGAAACCCGAAACCCTAAACCCTTAACCCAAGAAACCCATACACCTTATAAGCCCTACAAAGCCTCGAAACCCCAACACCCTGAACCCTAAGCCCTTTAAACCCTATAAGCCCCTAAACCCTACAAGCCCTACAAACCTAAACCCTAAACCCTAAACCCTAAACCCTAAACCATAAAACCTAAACCCCAAGCCCGAAACCCTAAACCCTAAACCCTATAACCACAAACCCTGAACCTGCTGGCCTGCGAGCCCTCTGAGTTTCCTTCCGGCGCCTCCACCAGTTGGTCTTTTTCGGGATTTGCAGGGTTTAGGGTTTAGGGTTTAGGGTTTAGGGTTTAGGGTTTAGGGTTTAGGGTTTTGGAATTAGGGTTCAGGGTTTAGGGTTTAGGGTTGCGGGCTCTGGGTTTTGGGCTGGTAGTAGGGTTTGCTGCTTCGCGGGCGTGGCCTCAGGAAAGGGGGCAAGTAGAGATGCAGGCTTCCTAGCTCTTTCCCTTGTAGGCCGTCTGAAGCATGAGCTGAACCTAAATGCTAGGGTTTAGGGTTTAGGGTTTAGGGTTTAGGGTTTAGGGTTTAGGGTGTAGGGTTTAGGGTTTAGGGTTTAGGGTCCTATCGGGTTTAGGGTGTAGGGCTTGCAGGGTGCAACCCTCCGTGGGCCCTGCAATCAGGAAGCAAAGACGCTCTCGGCTCACGTGTAGCTGGCCATAGGAGTGCGAGAGCACAACAACAGCAAAGCCAGGAGACAGGACGGAAGAGGAGAAGGGCTTTCTCAAACACCACGTGTAGCCAAACCCTGAACCCTAAACTCCCTAAACCCAAAGCCCTGAACCCTATGACCCTAAACCCTAAACCCTAAACCCTAAACCCTAAACCCTAAATCCCATGAGACAGAGCGGTGCCTGCCTCGAAGGCAATATTTCCCAGCTGTAGCACTGCAAACGTGCAGGCCACGATGCTCTGAATGTCCTCCGCCATCTGCAGGGCACCTTGGATGGCTCAGAACTGCCTGTGTTAGGGTTTAGGGTTTAGGGTTTAGGGTTTAGGGTTTAGGGTTTAGGGTTTAGGGTTTAGGGTTTAGGGTTTGGGGTTTAGGGTTTGGGGTTTAGGGTTTGGGTTTGTCAACCCCCCCCCCCAGGTTTAGGGTGTAGGGTGTAGGGTTTAGGTTTAGGGTTTAGGTTTAGGGTTTAGGGTTTAGGGTTAGGGCTTAGGGCTTAGGGCTTAGGGCTTAGGGTTTAGGGTTTAGGGTTTAGGGTTTAGGGTTTAGGGTTTAGGGTTTAGGGGACCCTAAACCCTAAACCCTAAACCCTAAACCCTAAACCCTAAACCCTAAACCCTAAACCCTAAGCCCTAAGCCCTAAGCCCTAAGCCCTAACCCTAAACCCTAAACCCTAAACCCTAAACCCTAAACCCTAAACCCCAAACCCTAAACCCTAAACCCTAAACCCTAAACCCTAAACCCTAAACCCTAAACCCTAAACCCTAAACCCTAAACCCTCACAGTGACTCACAACTGCGACCCGAGATGCGGAAGGCCCCCACGGTAGCAAGGAAGTCTTCGGCCTGAAGGTAGAGACGCAGGGTAAGATTGCCCTAAACCCTAAACCCTAAACCCTAAACCCTAAACCCTAATCCCGAAACCCCAAAGCCTTTAGGACTACTGGGTGCTGACTGGGCTTAGGAAGTAAGCCTGGGCGAACCTTCCTATGCGGTCCGCATGCACAAGTTCTCCAAGTTAGGGTCCCTTTGGGGTTTTTTTAACTACCCGTGGCTTCTGTTGTGCGCAAAGAAACTTGGCTACACTCAGAAGGGTAGCTAAAAATTAAAATGTTAGCTGCCTTATTAAGAAACCCAATAAACCCCAAAAAGGCTAAAGATCTAAAGTCACAGTAAAGTACCACAAAGGAAATGCCTCGTCATGACCGGCGAGGGTGTAGCAGCTTGACCGATTCAAGTACACGTAGTCCTCCGAGGTTGGCGCCCTTGACTCTTGAGACCTACACGAAGCTGCATCCGAAACCCTAAACCCTAAACCCTAAACCCTAAACCCTAAACCCTAAACCCTAAACCCTAAACCCTAAACCCTAAACCCTAAACCCTAAACCCTAAACCCTAAACCCTAAACCCTAAACCTTCCACACGAAACCATATACCCAACACCCCCTTTGGCCTCTGAGACTGATGCTTCGCAATGTGGAGTGCCTTTTGAGATGTTCCCCCCCTTCTACTAGGGTTTAGGGTTTAGGGTTTAGGGTTTAGGGTTTAGGGTTTAGGGTTTAGGGTGGAGGGGCACAATAATCCCTATTAAGGACTGGTAGTGTAAGGGGGGTAACATCCCAAAGTGCCATGTTCAAAGAGACCCTGCTGCTCAAAATCCTAGGCCAAGGGTGCGTTGCGATGTGTCTTCTGTACTGCTCGCGAAAAATACTGCAAATCGACTGCAACCACAAGTTTGTACATGCTATGAATAACCCTAAACCCTAAACTCTAAACCCTAAACCCCAAACCCTAAAGGATACCTTAAGCCCTAAGCCCTCTGTTGGAAGACACTGAGTCTTAAAGGTGTTGACACTCGAAACTGTGGAAATCAATTTTCAGGACACTCCTGCAAAGATACTCAAACTACTTAGCGAGTTGATTTTACATGTATAAATGAAATATGCTAATTATTTTTCCTAATATCACTATTAATGTTACATATCCGAGATAGCCGGGGCCTCCCCTGAGTTCTTGTTCTGTTAGCGGCAGAGCATATGGCATTGAAAACGTCAACAAAGTATACGCAGAGCAAGTTTGTACGTCATGTGTGCCACTTGCCACTTTCCCGCACACAACCAACGGACAAATCTCGAATCTCTGCCAGGCCTACGGGAAAGCAGGTTGGAGGTTCAAGGCTTATACTTGGCCATCTTTAGTTTATGGTACTCTGGGAACCCGAAGCCCTGAACCCTAAACCCTAAGCCCTAAACTCCCAGTCCTCCGGACCGTAGTACTCTGGGAACCCTAAACCCTAAGCCCCGAGTCCTCCGGAACGTGGCTCATGCCTCACATCGGAATGCCAAGCTTGCTACTTCTCTGGGGGTTTGTACCTTGGACCCTTCAGGTTGTACCCTTGATTTTCGGGACCCTGTTTGAAGATCCTTGAGGTAGTATAAGGGCCATGTTAGGAGCATGTTTCGGGGAACCTCCCAGGGGTACATCTTCGGGTTTAGGGTTTAGGATTTAGGGTTTAGGGGTATGAAGTCAAATCTTCTGAACTTCAGGCATCTCGGAATCTGGGGCCACTATACTACCCTGCACCTGAAGCCCTAAACCCTAAACCCTAAACCCTGTACCCTAAACCCTAAACCCTAAACCCTAAACCCTAAACCCTAAACCCTAAACCCTAAACCCTAAACCCTAAACCCTAAACCCTAAACCCTAAATAAAGTTGTGGCCTTCCAGAATCTTTGGAGGGCTTCGACGGAATTGGACTTGCGCACTGCAGTTTGGGGCTTCTTGGGCTCAGAGTTTGGGGTTTACGGTTTGGGGTTTAGGGTTTAGGGCTTAGGGCGTGGGGTTCAGGGTTTGGGCTTGGGGTTTGGCGTTTACCTGTTTAGGGGTTAGGGCCTCTTAGGGTCATACTACTTATGTCAGGGGCTTAGAGTTTGTTGATCTTCAGGCTTGGCAATAAGCTTCTCACAGTAAATCGATTCCGCCGTCCACGTCGGCGTAGCCCCTTGCAGGCTCGAAGTTCTAGCTACTGGAACCCTTACAAACTCAAGCCCTTATGGTGTTTAGGGTGATCATATCCGAGACATACCGTAGACCCGAAAACCAACCAAAACCCTAAACCCTGTATGCCCTATAAGCCCTACAACCCCCAGAAACCCTCTTAAGCCCTGTAAGCCCTACAAGCCCTAGAGGCCCCACAAGCGCAAGAAGCCCCATAAGCGCTGCAAGCCCAAAAAGTCCCAAAAACCCTATTAGGGTTTAGGGTTTAGTGTTTGGGGTTTGGGGTTTAGGCTTTAGGGTTACAACCCCTATGAACCCTACTAAGCCCTGTAAGCCCGATAAGCCCTATCAGCGCTACAAGCCCTACAAGCCCTACAAGCCCTATAAAGCCTCCCAAGCCCTAGTTGGGGTCTAGGGTTCAGGGTTCAGAGTTTAGGGTTTAGGGTTCAGGGTTCAGGGTTTAGGGTTTAGGGTTTAGGGAAGCGTTAACCCCCAACCCCCCTCCACCCCCCCCACACCTGGTGGCAGGGCCAGACCTTTCACCTCGGAGGGCATGTCGGAGAGGCGGGTGCGGAAGAAGGCCAAGACCTGGTGAAAGGCAGACAAAGGATAAGGAGTTTAGTGTTTAGGGTTTAGGGTTTAGGGTTTAGGGTTTAGGGTTTAGGGTGGGCGTTACAAAGGCAATCTTCGCACTACTGAACATTTCTGTGGCAAAAGCAACCATACCAATAGCCGAGCCTAAAATCCCGACTCCCTCAGCCCTTTCAACACCAGCCTGCCGATCTATTCTATCATCTATCTGGATAAGCATAACATATATATATATATATACATACACACACATATATGTATATATAGGGATACACACATGTCCATACATAAATATGTATATGTATAAAGAAATAAGGAAAATAGTAGAATATAATATAGTATAACATCATATTATATATATATATATATGTATACAATGTGTACACAATGCTTTGCTTGCGGAACTCAACCATCGTCAACTGGGAAGCCGATCGGCTGGGAAACATGGCGCCCTGAAACGCTCCAACGTCAGGAGGAGCCTAACGGAAAGATGGGAACCTTTATGTACATATGTACATATACATACAGATAAATGTACATGTACATGTACATATACATGTACATATACATATACATATGTGTATATATATATATATGTGTATATATGTATTATAAATATTCAGATAAAGAGAGAGCGAGAGGGGGAGCGAGAGAGAAATGCCAATAACGCCCTAAACCCAAAAAGGCACACGGTACGACAGCGAGGAGCCTGGTAGAAGATGTGAAAGTTTCGCTCACCATGCTGGGGGCCAACCACACGCACTTTCCTGGAAGGGCCCCAGGGAAGGGACGAAGGGTTTTGAGGAGTTTAGGGCTAAGGGTAAGGGTTTTAGGGTTTATGGGCTTTGGGCTTAGGGTTTAAGTTCAGGATGCAGTGCCCAGGGAGCAAGTTTTAGAGTGTTGGGTCCAAGGGTGGATGGTGGATGAGGTGTAACGTCGGGAATCCTGAGCCCAACACTACAGTGACGTGCCAACAGCACCAGAACCAGAGCTGGTCCTCGTCCCCTCCGGAACAACGTCGTTATTCAAGGTTGAGGGCATGCGAAGAGACGCATGATGCCCAGACTCAGTGCTTTGTTGGCGGTCTCTTTTTGTACGTGTGGCGCGTTGCAAATTCAACTGCTTAGTAGCTGAAGGATTGACAAAACCGTGGGGCGTTTTAACACCTACCCCTAAACCCCCTGAAGCCCTAAACCCTCTCATCCATAAACCCCTCAAAATCATGGGCCCTGGAAAACTCATATTCCCTCCTTGGGTCAGGAGGATGTGGCTCAAGAAGATCTTAGGGTTCAGAAGTTGGGGCTTATAGGGCTGAGGAAGAGATTTTAGAGAGGTTGAGAGCCCAACCTACTGAACCCTAAACCCTAAACCCTAGTGCTTTCCAAGACCGAAATCGATCTGAGAGTCTCCTAAAAGGATCAAGTGTAGCGAACGCGGTACTCAAGCTTTCAAGGGTTCAGGGTTGCAAAGCGCGCCTAATGTAGTGTTTCCATATAGATATACAGAAACATATATATATATACATATAACCCCAAATCAACAGTGGGTTTGATTCCGGCTCTGACCACGACTCTTCGTGCGCCCTAAACCTTTACCCTACACTCACTCCGAAGCCCCAGGCCCTAAGCCAGCCCTATAAGTGCGAAGTGGGCGAACCCTATAAACCCAACAAACCCTTAACAACCCTATAAACCCTTACAAGCCCTATAAACCCTATAAACCCTAAACGACCCCTGTACACCCACAAGCCCTACTAAAAGGTAGCACGCGCTCTGGAGTGCCCTGCGTTGTGTTGGCATGCGTTGGGTGTGGTTAAGTTGGAAAGTGTAAAAAAAACGGGTTTTTTGACTCATTCCGGTTTTCGGAACCAGGAAGACACGCCACTGATCCCTCGAAGGGCGGGCGCTTTTTCTTGAAAATGAGTTTTTCGCCTAGGCGGGAGCCTTGTTTTGAAAGGCAGGAAAACCGAAAAGTTGTGTATACCATGTTTTAGGTGATTTGAGCTTATTTGTAAGGATTTTTGAGGGTACTTTTTGGGGCTTGCATGTCCTTGTGTATGTGTCGGGCCCCCGAACCTCAGAGTTCAGAAGGAAAGCACACATCTTCGAACCTTTATCTTGTCAGGGCAGTGAGGACTCAAGTTCAACACAAAGTTTGCGGAAGACAGTGGCTCCATGGTAAGGGTCGAGGGCCGAGGGTCAAGGTCTTAACATGGATATTCCCAACATGGATATTCCCAACATGTATATTCCCAACATGTATATTCCCAACATGGATATTCCCAACATGGATATTCCCAAGATGGATATTCCCAACATGGAAATTCCCAACCCCCCCCCCCCCAGGAAACGCAGGGCACACGAGGGTGCGTCCTACCCAAAACAAGCCCTTAAAACCCTATAAGCCGAGGGGCTCCAAGAGATAGCAGTGCGTCTGCGCCGCGGCTAATCGCGGGGCCGCTCCGTTCTGGCCATGGTGCGCGGTGCCTGGAGGCTTGGTTCAGGTTTGGGGTTTGGGGTTTGGGGATTGGGGTTTGGGGTTAGGGGTTAGGGGTTAGGGGTTAGGGGTTTGGGGTTTGGGGTTTGGGGATTGGGGTTTGGGGTTGGGGTTTGGGGTTTGGGGTTTAAACCCTAAATCCTAAATCCCACACCCAAGACCCCAAAACCTGAGAACACCAGCCGCATCCAGGCAGCTGAACTGCAGCTCCGTGAACTTCCCGAAACGCGAGGAGTTGTCGTTCCGCAGGGTCTTGGCATTGCCGAAGGCCTGCTGTATCCCTTACTTCAGGGGATCCAGAGTTGATATTGCTTTAAAGTTGTGGTTTAGGATTTGGGGTCTAGGGCGTAGGTTTTAAGGGTTTCGGGTTTATAGGGTTTAGGGCTAATATCTTCTGATTATACCACCCCTTTCATTTGAGATAAATCAACTTCCCAACGTCCCACTCGTCGACATTGGCTTCCCTTCTGCCTTTGCGTGCTCAGTCTCGGCTTGAAGACAAGCCGTTTTTCTCGGGAGCTGAGCACGGGAGACTCCCTGTGAACGAGTGTGCCGTGAGCAGATTTTGGGGTTTAGGGGTTGAGGGCTCCCTAACCCTGAACCCTAAACTCTATAAACATTGGCCAGCCCAAGCTCCAGACACCCTACTGCTCTTGGCAGGGAATTCGTATACAATCAGTCCCTTAACTGGGTATACAGGGAACCTAATTCCCTGATTCCCTACTAAGAGGTAGTAGGTAACTAGACGCCCAAGCCAAAATGCGACGCTTGGCAGATTCTCTCAAATCGTAAGCCAACATATTTTGCTCTGAATATTCCCTTGGGTCGTATTTGGTTCTACAAAGGAGACTGCAAGAAAGCGCGAGATCCCCTCTTTCTCGCCACAACAAATTCCCAGGAGATCCTCTACAGCCCAAGGCTCGAACCGTACGCCGCAAAGCCAAACAAATCATGACATTTGTCGCCTCGTGTTCTGGGTTTAGGGTTTAGGGTTCTTAAAGCCCTTTATACCTCTTCAGGTACCTCCACGTCCTTCATGGCCAACGTAGGATGACTTCTGCTTCGCGAAGCCACAGCGAAACAAGGCAATACAGGTTCTTCAACCTAAACCCTAAACCCTAAACCCTAAACCCTAAACCCTAAACCCTAAACCCTAAACCCTAAAGCCCCTCTGAAGCCCCTCTGAAGCCCTGAACCCCAGCGTCGGTGCCTCCAGAAGAGGGATGGACTCGAGCACCTCTTCGCCCCAACAGCGTGGACTATGTTTTGCGTGCTTGCGGGGCGTGCTTTGTTGGGGTTTAGGGTTTAGGGTTTAGGGTTTGGGGTTTGGGGTTTAGGGTTTGGGGTTTGGGGTTTGGGGTTTGGGGTTTAGCGTTTAGGGTTTAGGGTAACAAGGATCGTTAGCCTTGTATCCTAAAAGCAAGCACATTAAGGCCTAAACCCTAATCCCTCTTGTTGTGCCCCAGCTTCTTAAATTTGCTGATGACTCGGTCTTTGGGTGTGGCATTAGATCATGGCGTCCTCGACTACTCGCACCCTAAGACCCCCAAGACCAGCCCTAAACCCTAAACCCTAAACGTCAACCCTAAACCCTAAACCCTAAACCCTAAACCCTAAACCCTAAACCCTAAAACCCTACTCAGGGCTGCGGGTTAAGTTAAGGGGTATCGGTACGCGCAGGTGATAGTAAAAACCCATAATCCTCCAAGAGCCCCTGATAGTGTCTAGCGAGTCGGCTTCCGTGATAATCAAGCAGCAGGCCCCATGATCCGTAAACCCTAAAGCGAAAAGCCTGAACACTAAACCCCAACCCCTAACCCTAAACCCTAAACCCTAAACCCCTAAACCCCTAAACCCCTAAACCCCTAAACCCCTAAACCCCTAAACCCCTAAACCCCTAAACCCCTAAACCCCTAAACCCCTAAACCCCTAAACCCCTAAACCCTAAACCCTGAACCCAAAACCCTAAACCCTAAACCCTGAACCCTGATGCTGATGGCAAGGCTTCCGCCTGCCGCTCCACCACGGACAGCGCGGCCTCAGAGCCTCCAGAGCCAGCGAGGGCCAGGTAGCGCATCACGAACCTGGGCTTCGGACCATGCTTAGGGTTTAGGGTTTAGGGTTTAGGGTTTAGGGTTTGGGGTTCAGGGTTTAGGGTTTAGGGTTTAGAGTTTCTAGGATTTAGGGTATACCTGAACCCTCTGGGCTTACTCGCTTACAGGGTTTCCTTCTTCAGCTAGGTTTCTTAGACTCAGAGCCTTTTGAAAAACATTCCTGAACAAGATCACCTGCTACCCAATTCCCGAATCAGATCCTTTTCAATCCACTAAGGCACCTGAGGGTACACATAAAGTGGCCCAAGGGCCTAGCTAGTCACTTGGTTGGGGTTTAGGGCTCGAGCACGAGCCCAAAACCCAAATCAAGCATGGCTTCCGCAGTTGATTTGGTTTTGGGCTCGTGCTTTTTGGCTACCATGAAAGATCTGGGGATTTGAGGGTGGCTTAGTCACCACCCTCTTTGCAAAAGTCAAAATGTTAGAAGATCTACAGCTATGCCAGTGTGAGCTACACAAATCTCGCTCTCGAAAGACGGTTGAAAACCCTGGACATGAACAAATAGAGGAAGGTTCTCACCCCTCAGCCTAGATAAGCAATAAACGGCTTCAATACCGTGGACCCCAAATCCTGAGCTGACAAGAGTTATGAGCATTCTTACAACAGCCAGAACCCCATAAGCCCTAATTGAACCCTGAAGAGCCTAAACACACATGCTAGGCACCAGCACTGCAAACACGACTTTATCCTAAAGCCCAATAACCCCAACCCTAAACCCCTAAATCCTAAAGCCCTGAAACCCCCTAAGCCCGAAGCCCTAAAGCCTAAACCCTAAACCTTTATAAAACTTAGGCCGCCCCCCTACAGTGGGAGGACGGCGCTTGAGCCCTCAACCTCAATGGCGCAAGCCGACCCATCGCCCTCCACAGCTCGGAGGTCGGCAGCTCGGAGGTCGGTAGCACCCACGATGGGCCCGGCACCGGAGCCCGTTCTCCTCGAGTACTGGTCCCGAAACGGAAGAGGTTTTTGGAAGTAGGTAATTGACTTGAGTTTAGGCCTAAACCCTGAAAGGACGGCTTGGGGTGTGAAGAAAGGCCCTCCGCAATCGCGCCAGACCTGCTCTGCACACCTGAGGAAGCCTTCGAGCCTTCTGCTGCATCCTAACCTTCACAGTATCTCCGTATTACAGCAAACTAAACCCTAAACCCTAAACCCTAAACCCTAAACCCTCAACCCTCAACCCTAAACCCTCAACCCTCAACCCTCAACCCTAAACCCTAAACCCTAAACCCTAAACCAACAAACTACTGCGACTGGCCGCTTCGTGGTCTCCGTCTTGCCAGACCCGCTCTCCCCAGAGACGAGGATCCTCAATGGGTCTTCTCTCTTCTTAGGGTTTAGGGTTTAGGGTTTAGGGCTTAGGGCTTAGGGTTTAGGGTTTAGGGTTTAGGGTTTCTAACCCCCCCCCCCCGAAAAAAAAATAAAACAAAAAGAAACAACCCTTAAACCAACAAACTATAACCCCTAACGAGCCCCTTAAATCCTGAGGACCCTTTTCATGGACCTATAAACCCGACACCCTTCGCCATACACCCTAAAAAACCCTAAACCCTAAACCCTAAACCCTAAACCCTAAACCCTAAACCCGAAACCCTAAACCCTCCGTCAGCCACAAACAACTCTCAAGTCCAGGAAGGCCCAGGGTCGTCTGCGGGGTTCCAGTGGTCTTGATCAACCTGTAGGCCTGTTCTGACGGGGGCTTAAGGTTTAGGGTTTAGGGTTTAGGGTTTAGGGTTTAGGGTTTAGGGTTTCGGGTTTAGGGTTTAGGGTTTAGGATCTTGAGGGCGTTCAGGGTCTTTTGGTATGGGGATTAGGCCCGTCGTTTTTTTGTTTAGGATTTGTGGAGGGTTTTAGGGTTGACAGAGTATAGGGTTTAGGCGTGTCCTCGGCGTCGGAAGGGTGGCTTTCGGAGATATCTTCGGAGGTGCTCAAACCCTAAACCCTAAACCCTAAACCCTAAACCCTAAACCCTAAACCCTAAACCCTAAACCGCTCAGTGTCCACTGTGTTCGGGGCGTAGGGTTCAGGGTCCACAGAGTGTAGGCTTAGGGTTCGGGTCTGCTTGAACTCAGGGGCCTTGGGGGGTTTAGGGTTTAGGGTTTAGGGTTTAGGGTTTAGGGTCTGGGGTTGGGTCCAAGTACAAGTGCTTGGCCCTCCTAACCGTCGCTTAGAAGCGCGCCTCCTTGCTACATGACTGGGGAAGCTTCCACCCACAATGGACCACAACCCAAGCCTGCCATGAGGTCCGGTAGACATGCGGCGGCAAGCGCGCCTCCGGATCCTCGCATAGGACGGCTTCACCGGGACCCCCCTAACCCCCTGAAGCCCGATGAGTCCGCAGTAGCCCTGTACATAAAATTCTCAGAGCCCGAAGAACCTTGCGGAACCCTTTTTAACACATCCCTTCTTCGCGTTACTGATGCTGCCTTGGAGGGGGGGCGGGGCTGCATTTGAAATAAGAGCCCCCAAGAATCCAACCCTTTCCGTCCGAAGGCACCTCGGTCGACAGGAAGTGGTTGAGGCAGTCCGCGTCGTAGAGCCGAGGCAGCGATCGAAATGGATTTACGGCCAGCAACACCGGGCCGGTGTTGGTGTAGATGACCTCGGCTTTTGTTTACCGATCTTGGAAAACTTATATGTGTGGTTTAAGAAATTTGATGAGACTTTGGGTTAAGGGTTTAGGGTTTAGGGTCTAGGGTCTAGGGTTTAGGGTTTAGGGTTTAGGGTTTAGGGTTTAGGGTTTAGGGTTTAGGGTTTAGGGTCCAGGGCTTGCCGTGTTCATGTAGCTTGACCCCTGAAAATGCTTGGATAAGCGCCCCATCAGCCCTCAGCCTGGCACCTCAAGCCCTATAAACCCCAAACCATCAAGGGTTTAGGGTTTAGGGTTTAGGGTTTAGGGTTCCAAAATCCCGACCATTTTCACAGCCTCGGATTGCTCCATCAAACGTGTTACGTGCTTTACCCCATGATACTTCCCTTAGAACCATAAAAAACAGAAAATAGCGTGTATGAAATCTCCAATGGGTATTTCTAGTGTGAAAAGCAGTTGAGAAACCTAAGCCTAAACCCTGAAAACCCAGAAGCTTTATAACCCTATACCCCCACATTCCTAAACCCTAAAACAGTACAATCCTGAACCTAAACCCGCCTTCAGCAGCTCACAACCCTACAATCCTAAAACCCTATATCCCTACAACCCTAACCTTACAGAACCCTAAACCCTAAACCCCAAACCCTAAACCCAAAACCCTAAACCCTAAACCTTAAACCTTACAGTGGCTGTTGCCCAGTCGCATCGCGCGCGAAGCGGCTCTCGATGGCGTGGAGCAGCTCTGGTTCATTCAGCAAGGAGAGCAAGCCTTGGGTTTAGGGTTTAGGGTTTAGGGTTTACGGTTTAAGGTTTAGGGTTTAGGGTTTAGGGCTTAGGGCTTGGGGTCCAGTGTTTGGGGTTTAGGGTCTAGGGTTTAGGGCTTAGCACAAGGGTTTAGGGTTTAGGGTTTAGGGTTTAGGGGCGGCTAGTACCTTGGAGACAACCCTGACGCTCGTAACATTCTCCGCGCAGCTGAGGTCGTCAACTGCTGCAGCCCGGTCAGCCTCATCTCAAGGCGCGGAAAGCAAAGCACAACTTAGGGCCCAAAGGATCTGGGGTTCTTTGGGAGGATTCGGCCCCTGAACCCTAAACCCTAAACCCTAAACCCTAAACCCTAAACCCCTAAACCCCTAAACCCTAAAACCCTAAACCCTAAACCCTAAACCCTAAACCCTAAACCCTAAACCCTAACCCCTAACCCCTAACCCCTAAACCCCTAAACCCTAAACCCCTAAACCCCTAAACCCTAAACCCCTTGGGCCCATCCCAAGCAACTCCCAGCCTTGAGCATCTCGGGGTTCCTCTTGCAGAACTTCGGCGGCTGCTGCTTGACGCTGAGAACCTGGGGACCCAGCGTCCCTAAACCCTAAACCCTAAACCCTAAACCCTAAACCCTAAACCCTAAACCCTAATAGAGTTTATGGTTTAGGCTTTAAGGGTCTAAGGGATTGAGGGTTACGAGGGTTTAAGGGTTACGGCTTAGGAAACCGTGGAGCGACTATCCAGGCACTTTGGGACTTGAGGGGTTCGAACCCACCCTTCTGTACCCCCCTAAAGCCCCGTAAGACCTGAACCCCGAAAAACTCTCCCCTTGAACGCCCCCTCTCAAACCCACCAAACCCCCCTAGGAAAAAAACCCAAACCCCTTGAAGCCTAACGAAGAATGCAAACCTTGAGCGAAGTAAATCCAAAACCCCCTATACCAATCACCCTAAACCCTAAACCCTACATATCCAAAGCCCCGCGGGAGCCAGGACACCACCTCTTCCCTCCGTGAGCGGGGGCCCGGGCCTTGAACCTGAAGGAAGCTTTGGGTTTACGGTCTATAGGGCTCCGGGTTAAGGGTTTAGGGGTTAGGGCTGAGAGTTTAGGGTTTAGTTTAGGGTTTAAGGTCTAGAGGGTTTAGGACTTTAAGGCTTTTTGGGCTTCTAGGGGTTGAGGGTGTTTAGGGTGTTAGTATGGGGTTGATGTGACGCTGGGGTTTTGGGGGAAATCGTTGGCGGAGGTGTTTTCTTTTGGTTCCTGCCGTGGTTGCCAAAGCTTCTTTCATGACCTTTGCTGTCTGAATTATGTAATTCTGTTCCCTTGCGCATGGTACGCGAGGTGGCAATGCAAACAACAACGCCTCCAGCCCTGGCGGAAGTTTCGCTTTGCGTAATAAGTTAACGCATGAAATGCATGAAATGAACGAACGAAACAAAGAAACGAAGGAAATGAATTAATTTTAAGGGGGCGTTTTGCTTTCTTCTTTAGAATGCCCTCTTTAACACGTTTAATACTGTTAAAAAGCGGCTGTGAGGTAACAACTGATGGTTTTACCATTAGGACAGAGTGAATGACACAGTGCATGAATTCCATCACGAGGTGCGTTCGGCTTATACCGTTCACGTGTTCACTCCGTTCTCACTTCTTTTATTGTCGTTCCCCACGCACAGACAAAGAGGATGCAAAGAAAGCTCAAACCCACATGTGGTACCCCGCACCTCGCATGGCCTGCAACCGCCGGTCCTCATCCAAAGACGGCGTTGCAGGAGCCCGTAGGCTTCCTCCATACTTTGGATGTTCAGGAGGGGGTGTTCCACCAGGCGCAGGACAGCCAGGGCGCGGGCACACCCGAAGTCGCCAATCTTGAGGAAGATGCAGGTTTAGGGAACCCTGCCCAGAACGGCTTGAAACCCAAACTCTCTGGATCCTCCGTGTGGGATTGGCTCGAGGTGGACTTCGCGGCGGTCTACCCCCTCCTGATTCGTTTGGTATTGGATCAGAACGAGAAGCCCAGGATTCTGTTCATCGTTCTGGTACGCTAACAAAACTTGCGCCGGCAGAAAGGGGGCGGCGAAGCTCTTGCAGCAAACGCCGAAAAAACGGAAAGGAAGATAGACGCCCGAGGAAACATGCAAGGTCAAACCATGACATTCCGACGCCGAGGGATCTCGAGACATACCGGGACGACGGCGGCTCCGCACGCTTGGAGGGCTTGCTGAGCCGAGGTGAAGGAGTCACATGATTTAAGCCTTCAGGCCTGGCAGTGCTGGGGTTTGGGTTTTCGAGTTTCGAAGTTTAAGCGATATGTACTTCCATTGTCTTTGGGTTTTGGTGTTTCTACTGTCTGTTGCACGAGGATCTCGCGGCTTTTGCGACTCGACCAACCGTATTACAGTAACCCTTGCAGAACCCTTAAAGGAATCCTTTAAGAAGACAGCAGCGTGGAAAAAAACAACCTAGTCAAGTTTCCGTCGAGAGCCATGATGGTCTGCTGACATCAGGTACTTGATGCCAGGTTGGGAACTCTCTGGCCTGCCAAACACCCGAAAGTGCGTAAGCCAGGTCAATGCATTCTGACAATGAGCGGCCTTCGACGCAACGCAGCGTGCGAGGAGGTCCTCGAATTTTTTGTTGAGGTCATCCATTGGGCCACAAAAACTGACAAAATATCGCATTTCTGGAGGGCAGCAATGAAAACACAGCAGAGTATCTTTGTCATCCCCACCATCAATGACTCAGAGGTCAAGCACGCTGTAGCAATCTGCACTCCATAGTGAACCACTGGATTGCAAATTCTCATTTTGCCAGAAACCAAGCTCTTGCAAGTGGGAGGCACAGAGCAAAAGATATCCCAAAACCGCGAAGCCAACTGAATGAGTTCCCCTCGCTCAGGGAAGGTAGCAACCTGTCCAGCCAACACCAACTCCTGCTACTCTTAAGTCGCAAGCTTACCTGCATGACCTGAACAAGCAACATGTCTCACAGCCATGCCAATTGACAGAAAAACATACAGCAGCACTCAGGCATCCTCGCCGGGGTCGGGCGGGCGACTCTATCTCTCTCTGTCTCTCTCTGTCCCTCTCTCTCTCTCTCTCTCTCTCTCTCTCGCGCTCTCTCTCGCTCTCTCTCTCGCTCTCTCTCGCTCTCTCTCTCTCTCTCTCACTCTGTCCCTCTCTCTCTCTCTCTCTCTCTCTCTCTCTCTCTCTCTCGCTCTCTCGCTCTCTCGCTCTCTCGCTCTCTCGCTCTCTCGCTCTCTCGCTCTCTCGCTCTCCCCAGCTCTTACGTCTCAATGACGTTGATAAACGAGTTGCGTGAGTCTTGCACTGCTAGGCTCACCCGTGAACATTTCAAAGGCGGAACCAGGAAGCACGCTGCGCTGATGCTGCGTCCCACCGTCTACCTGGCTTGCGCTCAAGCAGACCGCGCAGGAAGTGCGCCGCTCGGCGGCTCAGCGCAAAGCCCTTTGGTGTCCGCGTAAACCTGTCCGTAGCCAGAAGCAATGCGAGCAGCAACGAACTATCATCCTGACAGCTGTTGCCTGAGTTCCGGGCAAGATGGGGGCTCGCAGAATCATCTTTTCCAGATCAGCTTGGCGTATTGAAGGAAATGGGCCATGTCCATACAGAATGTGATAAGACAACATGCCCAAAGACCACATGTCAGTTTGATGATTGTAGCCTCCGCCTCCCACCATTTCAGGGCTCATATAAGCATGTGCCCCCTCTGTCTCTCTCTCTCTCTCTCTCTCTCTCTCTCTCTCTCTTTTTCACGCACTCTCTCACTCACTCACTCACTCGCTCGCTCGCTCGCTCGCTCGCTCGCTCGCTCGCTCGCTCTCTCTCTCTCTCTCTCTCTCTCTCTTGGGGTCAAGGTGTAGAGGGTATTGCTTGCTTGTGGTGGGACACGCTGACCTTGCCTGAAATACCTCTTTACTGCGGACTCTGGCCGGACGTGCCCGTGCAGCGGCTGGAAGCACAGGTGATACCATAGCGCCTCCAACTTTGGGACAGCATCAAGCAGAAGATGCTGCCCTCCATTCCGTCGGGCCCTTGCCTCAGGCGTCGCTTACAAGAAGATTGCAACGACGAAATCTCCAAGTTCCTGAGCTTCTCATACTCAGCAGAATGCCCGATAACAGTCTCCTGCCCGAAAACACATGCTCAGCATGCTGAGTCTTTTGTGGGCGTCTGTGGCCAAGCTTTTCACGGTCCATGGCTTTGCGGGTTTCATTGCGATTAGCACAAAAAATTGGGGTCCTACATTAAATTACGTTTGATAACAGCTTCCATACATACAGTTGTTGGATATGTCATTGGTTCAGGGTCTAGAGGCTTTCAGGGTCTAGGGTTTTGGAGCGTATTGGGGTTTTTTGGATGTTTAAGGTTTGCGGGTCTAGGGTTTTCGGGCCTTTAGAGTTTGCGGGTAACTTAGGGTTTCAGGGCTTTCGGGATGTTTTGGACTGTCAGGGTTTTAGGGCTTTAGGGTTGTTTGGGCTTTTGGGGCTTTAAGTCTTTGTTTTGCTTTCAGGGTGTGTTGCTCAGTGGGTTTTTTTGGGGGTTGGGGTGGTGTAGGCTTATGGTTCTGTGAAATTTCAGCGGCTAGGCCAGAAACACTCAGTGGGCCCCCCCTCACCCCTGAACAATTCAAAATCCGAAGTACCAGCTGCCTCAAGACCCCAAACCCTAAACCGATCCCACATCCCCTTAGCTTTGGAGTAGACCCTGGAAAAAAGTATATACTTTGGAGGTATAAGTAGCTATAATAGGAACCCAGAACCAAAAAAAGTATTAAAGTATAGTACTCCAAGACCCACATCCCAAACCCAAAACCCTGAATCATACCAACACCAGCATCCTTGCGAGGTTGATGTCAGCACATCATCTAGATACTTCCCCCCCCCCCCCCACTCCGACACCAAAACGCCGAAGGAAGAGCTTCCTCTACAGGCGCCAAGTGGTACCAGAATCTTGCCCTTAAATAAAATGATACCAGAATCTTGCCTTAGAAAGACAGCGTGAGTTGAGAATTAGAGTTTATAGGTTTTAGGCGAACTCCTAAATCCCTGAAACCCTCAAGCCTAAACCCCTAAACAAACCCAGAGGAGGGGTTCTCCCTGCCCCCCCTCAATCGCCTCGACGATCAGGTCGTCTTCTCGGAGGCTTTTTACAACTCCTGCTGTCCAGACCTGATCGGGTTTAGGGTTTAGGGTTTAGGGTTTAGGGTTTAGGGTTTAGGGTTTGTTTAGGGTTTAATTAGGGTTTAGGGTTTAGGGTTTAGGGTTTAGGGTGGTAGGGGTCTCAGCCCATTGATAGCACTCGCAAGCGCGCCGCCCCGAATCCTGAGCCTTAAGCCCTCTAAACCCTAAAAACTCACGTACACCCTTTCAACATTAAACCCTGTAAGCACTATAGACCCTATACCCCCCCCCCCCCCCCCCATAAAATTCGATTAACAAGCCTATCAACCCGGTCATAAACCCTATAAGCCCTGTAAGTCCTACGTCGCACAAGCCTAAACCGAAACCCTGAAACCCTGAAACCCTGAAACCCTGAAACCCTGAAACCCTGAAACCCTGAAACCCTGAAACCCTGAAACCCTGAAACCCTGAAACCCTGAAACCCTGAAACCCTGAAACCCTGAAACCCTGAAACCCTAAACCCTAAACCCTGAAACCTGAAACCCTAAACCCTAAACCCTAAACCTTAAGCCCTAAACCCTAAACCCTAAACCCTATGTGAACCCCAAGCCCGCCTCTCCGATCACGCGCACCCATACGGGCGCAGAAACTTCCTCGGTTCCGCATGTTGGGTTTGGGGTTTAGGGTTTAGGGTTTAGGGTTTCTAGGGTTTAGGGTTCTCCCAACCCCGAGTAGGGCGCCTGGAATCCAAACCCTGAACGCGCATCGGAGATTGACGTGTAGGAATGGTACAGGGTGCATGACAAAAACGCAATTCCAAGCAACACGCTCCTAGGAGAAAAAAATCTAAATCCCAAACTCCGGAACCCCAAACCCCTGGGACCTAAAGCAACTTGGTATCTCGGTAACCACATTATAATCAGGGTACCCTTTGGGTTGCCGGTTACTGGGCTATCTCTTAAGGGAACCGAGAACCCAACAAAGGGAAGCACTGCTACCAAGGCAAGACCACCCTAGCTCTGTACAACCTAAACCCCTAAACCCTAAACCGTCAACCCCAAACACTAAACCCTAAACCCTAAACCCTAAACCCTAAACCCTAAACCCCAAACCGCTGCCGAGAAGCCAGCCCCAGCGCTCCCAAGTCACTTCCCGCCGCCATGTTGGCGCAGCGGAGAGGGTTTAGGGTTCAGGGTTTAGGGTTTAGGGTTTAGGCGGGGCTTCGAGGGCTTTTTTCGGGGGTAAAGACGTCGCGCACACATGGTTTTGTAGGGGCTTTGTAGGGCTTTTGGGGATTATCGGGTTTCGGGAGTTATTGAGTTTATAGGGTTTATTTGGTTTATAGGGTTTCTTTGGTTTATAGGGTTTCTGGGGGGTATTTGGGCTTGATGGGGCTTTATGGGGTTTTATAGGGCTTTTTATGTTCTTTGCTCTTGGTTTTTGTTGCGGTTTTTATCTCGGGGTCTTGTGTAGGGGGCTTTTGCAGGGTTCATGCTGTCTATGGGGCTTATGGGCAGGGGTTTGGTTTTAGGAGTTGGGGTACACATGTGGGCCTCAGGGGTCAGGGCCGCCCAAAGGTTCGAAGTGGGTGGCTGCGCGCGCAAGCAAGGCTTGGGCGTGGCCGCTGGAGTACCCTAAACCCTAAACCCTAAACCCTAAACCCTAAACCCTAAACCCGAAACCCTAAACCCTAAACCCTAAACCTATAGGGCCTGAGGGGGCCCAATGGTTTTTGTACAGGGTGTTTCTACCGGGCTTATGGTGGCTTGATGTGTTTTTGTAAAGTAGTAACCCTAAACCCTAAACCCTAAGGTAGTGTATCATTCAGCCCCCCCCGCCCCCCCCTCCGGCCCTCAAATCTGAGCTTGCTCGATGGGGCCTCTCGGGAGTCAATGTAAGTTTAGGCTTTAGGGCTTAGGGCCTAGGGCCTAAGGTTTAGGGTTTAGGGTTTAGGGTTTAGGGTTTCGGTTTTCGGGTTCAGGGTTTAAGGTTTAGGGTTTAGGGTTGAGGGTTCAGGGTTTAGGGAATACCTGCCATTTCTGAAGATGAAGAGACGAGGGACGCCACGGAGATGCTGGCGCATCCCACCCCACACCCCGGTTGCCCTCAGCTTCCTGCGGCAAGAGGCCTTCATCATATTCAGACAGCTGTGGGTATGAATGACTCGCCGAATGCCCAAAGAGAAGACTCTATGGAAAGCCACTTATGCTTCATACGGCCTAAACCCTAAGCCACCCTAATCTCTGAGTCCTAAACCCTAAACCCCCAAAACCCTGAACCCCAGCCCCTAAAACAACTTTTTGCCCACGACGGCCGAAGAAAATCGATAAAGCTCCACAGGCGTGCGCGGTTTAGGGTTTAGGGTTTAGGGTTTAGGGTTTAGGGTTTAGGGTTTAGGGTTTAGGGTTTAGGGTTTAGGGTTTAGGGTTTAGGGTTTAGGGTTTAGGGTTTAGGGTTTAGGGTTTAGGGTGCGCGGAGCCTTGGCTTTTGGGCGTCTCAAAGCACATGCTTGGAACAAGGAGGGTTAGGGTTTATAGGATTTAGGTTTGGGGCGGGGGTGGGTTCAGGAGTTCTTGTTGTGGGTTAGGGCTTGCAAGGTGTTTGAATTTCGGGCTGTGTCTGGGTCATTTTGCTGGAGTTTTGCTCGTTGCTTGGAAGCGCGCGCCCCGTGCACTGAAACTAAGTCCTCATCGGCTACCCAGCAGCCTGCGGTATGCAAAAGAGCCTAAACCCTTCCCACAATGGGCTTTGCAAGGGATCCGAACCCTAAAAAGCAATCGGGGCATGACTGGGCATCTAGACAACCTAATCCTAAACCTGGAACCCTGAACCCTAAACCTTACATGGAAACCCTTAACTCCAAAGCCCAAACCCCGAAAGCTTGAACCCTGAACCCTGAAGTCCTGAAGCCTAAACCCTACACCCCGCACCCTGACCCCTAAACCCACACAGTGCTCAGAACTTACCTTCAATAAACACTGGAATCTTCATCCCACCAGGGGGTTTGGGAACCTTCAATAATTGACCCTGCACAACTCTTGTTTAGGGTTTAGGGATCCTGGACGTCTCGCGCATGTGAGAAGATGGCAGAGTGACGCATGAGCACAAAGTAGACACATGACGTGGGAGTTCTACGCACCCCATTATTCACCAAGATTTCAAACGAGCCAGATCTACACGTACCAATGTAAGTATGAGCCCTACGCCATGGACAACAAATACCCAAACCCTAAACCCAGAGAATTGAAAAAGAGGGGGGAGGTTAGGCAAAACAGGAACTCGAGCGTCCAAGCCGAAGCACCAGCACCGGTCAGCTCCAGTAGGCATGCCTCAGACAGTCGGGTTTTAGGGGTTTTGGGTTTAGGTGGTTTAGGGTCGTTCCTCAAAGAGAAACGAGGGAATTCCACACCTGCAGGATACCTAATTCCCTACTGAGTAAGACACTGCTTCATGCTGCCCGCTAGAAAACAAGCACCATACGCACCAAACCCTTTTAACGCCCTAAACATCCCTAAGCCCTGAACCCTTTTGCAAACCCTCAGGCCCAAACCCTAAACCCTAAACCCTAAACCCTAAACCCTCAACCCTCAACCCTCAACCCTCAACCCTCAACCCTCAACCCTCAACCCTCAACCCTCAACCCTAAACCCTAAACCCTAAACCCTAAACCCAAAACCCTAAACCCTACCTGCGTCCCTCTAACTTGCTCATGCTGAGAGGTGTGCCAACTGTCGAGGAAGACAAAGTTGGCGGCCGGAAGGAAGCTGCCTTGAAAGATGAGGCATCTCGACATGAGGTAGTGCTTATTTTCCTTCTATCCCCCAGAAGGACACCCAATAGACACGCTCACCAATACTGCAAAGGAATCTTACATATATATATATATATATGCTACCCCCCCCCCCCATGGACCTACCAATTTCCTTTGTTTTTATCCATGAATTTCGCGGTCTAAGCCACATGGTTTGAAAACCATGGGTTTTATGGATAACATTTGTTTTGCCGATGTTTTCGGGCTCCATCCTTCAAAAACATTGGTAAAACCAATTATCCGTGAATTGGGTGCTCCCAGCCACATGGTTTGAAAACCATGGATTTTATGGATAACATTGGTTTTGCCGATGTTTTCGGGCTCCATCCTTCAAAAACATGGGTAAAACCAATGTTTTCCATGATTTTCGTGATCTGAGGCTCTCTCCCAGCCACCATTTCTCGAGGTAGTACCAAGCAACAAACTCGAATCCTGCAAAATCTCGAGGGAGTACCAAAACCTCCTTATAATCAATATGACATCTGTCCCAAAAACACTACCTTAGCTACGATATCTCAAACAGTCATCCCCCGATAAGCAAGGCTAATATCCATACTAAACCTGTACCTTAGCAACATATCTTAAGACATCACGCCCTAAGGCTCCTACCAATTTAATAAGGTTCCTATCAATTTCAACAGGATTCTTATGCATGTTACTGGGATTCGCATAGGATTCTCATTAATTTTAAAGGATTCCTATTGGATTAGGCTCATACTAGTTTAGTAGGATTCCTATCAGTTCTTGTTAAAGGATTCTATTGTTTTTAAGGCCTATTGGTTCCTATTGATTTAGAAAGATTCCTTCTCGTTTTAATAGGATTCCTGTGACTTGTAACCCGGGTTGTTTCCAACTTGTTAAGGTTCCTATTCATTTTAATAGGCTTCCTATTAACTGTTGTCCGGTCCCGATAATTCAATAGAGGATTCCTATTTACTTTCATAGGATCCGAATAAAGTTTCATAGGGTTCCTAATTATTAATAAGGCCCCTATTTTCTGTAATAAGAGTCCTATCAATTTTAATCAGATTCTTATTCATGCTAATGGGGTTCGTGTTAATATTAAAGGGATCTCATTCACTTTCAAGGGATTCCTGTTGGTTTAGGCTCATGTTCATTTTAATTGGTTTGTCTAAAGGTTCACGTTATTTCTTATAGGAGTCCGATTGGTTCCTATTAATTTGAGTAGGGTTCCTCTTCAGTTTAATCGGATTCCTACTAATCCTATTAATTCTACGAAAATGTTGGGAGAGTACCAAAACCTCCTTACAATCAATCACGCCCCAATACGCAAGACATGACATGTGTCCTAAAAACACTACCTTAGCTACGATATCTCAAACAATCATCCCCCGATAAGCAAGTCCTAATATCTATACTAAACCTGTACCTTAGCAACATATCTTAAGACATCACGCCCTAAGGCTCCTACCAATTTAATAAGGTTCCTATCAATTTCAACAGGATTCTTATGCATGTTACTGGGATTCGCATAGGATTCTCATTAATTTTAAAGGATTCCTATTGGATTAGGCTCATACTAGTTTAGTAGGATTCCTATCAGTTCTTGTTAAAGGATTCTATTGTTTGAAGGCCTATTGGTTCCTATTGATTTAGAAAGATTCCTTCTCGTTTGAATAGGACTCCTGTGACTTGTAACCCGGGTTGTTTCCAACTTGTTAAGGTTCCTATTCATTTTAATAGGCTTCCTATTAACTGTTGTCCGGTCCCGATAATTCAATAGAGGATTCCTATTTACTTTCATAGGATCCCAATAAAGTTTCATAGGGTTCCTAATTATTAATAAGGCCCCTATTTTCTGTAATAAGAGTCCTATCAATTTTAATCAGACTCTTATTCATGTTAATGGGGTTCGTGTTAATATTAAGGAGATCTCATTCACTTTCAAGGGATTCCTGTTGGTTTAGGCTCATGTTCATTTTAATCGGTTGTCTAAAGGTTCACGTTATTTCTTATAGGAGTCCGATTGGTTCCTATTAATTTGAGTAGGGTTCCTCTTCAGTTTAATAGGATTCCTACTAATCCTGTTAATTCTACGAAATTGTTGGGAGAGTACCAAAACCTCCTTACAATCAATCACGCCCCAATACGCCAAGACATGACATCTGTCCTAAAAACACTACCTTAGCTACGATATCTCAAACAATCATCCCCCGATAAGCAAGTCCTAACATCTATACTAACACTGTACCTTAGCAACATATCTTAAGACATCACGCCCTGAGGCTCCTACCAATTTAATAAGGTAGGATTCTTATGCATGTTACTGGGATTCGCGTAGGATTCTCATTGATTTGAAGGGATTCCTGTTGGATTAGGCTCATACTAGTTTAGTAGGATGTTAGAGGATAAAAACCATGATTTTTCAAACTACTCGGAGACCCAAGCCCATAGTTTGGAAAATCATGGTTTTTATGGTGTTTATTGGTTTTTGCGATGTTTCGTGAGCATGGGCTCAAAAAACATCGGTAAAACCAATGTTTTTTGAAGGTAGGGGTTCAAAAACAATGGTAAAACCAATGTTTTGGAGAGGCCACCTTCAAAAAACATCGGTAAAACCAATGTTTTTGGAGCCCCTGCTCAGGAAACATCGCAAAAACAAATAAAAACCATAAAAACCATGATTTTTCAAACTACTCGGAGACCCAAGCCCATAGTTTGGAAAATCATGGTTTTTATGGTGTTTATTGGTTTTTGCGATGTTTCGTGAGCATGGGCTCAAAAAACATCGGTAAAACCAATGTTTTTTGAAGGTAGGGGTTCAAAAACATTGGTAAAACCAATGTTTTGGAGAAGCCACCTTCAAAAAACATCGGTAAAACCAATGTTTTTGGAGCCCCTGCTCAGGAAACATCGCAAAAACCAATAAAAACCATAAAAACCATGATTTTTCAAACTACTCGGAGACCCAAGCCCATAGTTTGGAAAATCATGGTTTTTATGGTTTTTATTGGTTTTTGCGATGTTTCGTGAGCATGGGCTCAAAAAACATCGGTAAAACCAATGTTTTTTGAAGGTAGGGGTTCAAAAACATTGGTAAAACCAATGTTTTGGAGAAGCCACCCTTTTTTGAAACATCGGTCAAGCCGAGGTTTCAAAAAAAGGTAGGTCCATGGGGGGGGGGGGGGGGGTACCATATATATACACTCATCAATGACAGTAACATAAACCCGGTTTCACAAAGGGCTTTGGGGGTTGTTGTTGGGGGTTTGGGGTATTTAGACACAAGCTGAAGCCCGGCCAGCGGGGTAAACCCCACGACCCGTGAAGATCTGCATACTCCGAGCCGAAGCCGACTGAAGAGCCACATCCTAAAGCCCACCCACAAGAAGTTCAAGAAACCTCAGCTTCGGAGCTGATTGCCCTAGCCCCAAAAAGGTTAACCCTTTTATATAGGAGTCTATGCCAAATAGGCTAAAGGTTACCTACCCAGTCCCTAAGTCAACAAACAAGAAGGCTTCTTTTGAAACCACACCCAAGGCGCTGTTGCCATAGACTTGGCCAATGACCTTGGTAGCTTCAGATCTTCAAAGTAGCTAAAGGAAGGAGCCTGGGGCATGTAGAACCTGAACCACAAACCTCTATCGGATCAAGTCTCTCTCTCCCTCTCTCTCTTTCTGTTCATTCTTTTCGTTGGGCCTACAGTGTAGGGAGAGACTCTGGGTCCCGAAGCCTACTGGCTTAAGGAGGGGAGCTAGTTCCCGACTTCATTGGGCGCAAGGGCATCGTGCACATTGGGCCGGTCGCTCCTCCAAGTGTGTTGTTATCTCAAGCTCCTTTCGCAGCGCGAGCATCCTGCCTTGATGAGGCGACCCCAGCCTACAGCTGGCAACTTCCACGATGCGGTGTCTCTCTCTCTCTCTCTCTCTCTCTTTTAGCCCTAAACCCTAAGCCCTAAGCCCTAAACCCCTAGACCCCTAAAACCCTAAACCCTCTCTGTCGCTCATGGAACCTAAACCCCCATGGGATAGCTCCGATGGTCCAAAGACCTGGCCAGAAATCATACTGCCTCAGCAACCCCCAGCCTAGAACCCTGAAACCCCAAACCCAGAATCAGCAAAACCCCCAAGACCCTAGACCCTCAAACGTTCAAGCCCCAAACCCTAAACCCTAAACCTAGACCCTAAACCCTAAACCTAAACCCTAAACCCTAAACCCTAAACCCTAAACCCTAAACCCTAAACCCTAAACCCTAAACCCTAAACCCTAAACAGACAAACATTCTGGCTGCGGACCCCGGGGATGGAGTTCCGGCGCAGGTCCCCCAGCTCCGCGCGCAGGCGCTCGCAGGAGAGGCGGGTGGCCTTGGCCTCGAAGCTCCTTGGGCCGGTATTGGGGTTTCGGGTTTAGGGTTTAGGGTTTAGGGTTTCGGGTTTAGGGTTTCGGGTTTAGGGTTTAGGGTTTTGGGCTTTAGGGCTTGGGAATTCGGGGTTGCTAAGGTCGAGGCTCCGGAAAAATCTGCCAACAACTCGATAGCTTTGGCCGTGTGAGTGCCGACAGAAGCCTTCTGCCGAATGGCTGAGGACTAGCCCTAAACCCTAAACCCTAAACCCTAAACCCTAATCCCTAAACCCTAAACCCTAAACCCTAAACCCTAAACCCTAAACCCCAAACCCTGCCCAGGGGTCAGCGCTGCATTACAGCGCTCGAGGCTGGCGATGGCGGCCAAGAGCTTTCCCAAAGGAACGTCCTCGAGCTGCTCGTCCAGATGATCCTTAGCTTTTTCTGTCAAGATCCGAACCCTAAACCCTGGACCCTAGACCCTAGACCCTAAACCCTAAACCCTAAACCCTAAACCCTACACCCCAAACCAGCGGCCGCAAATCCGGAGTCGAGGCTCTTCGGCCAATAAGCCCACTGGTTCTGGGGCAGGTCTCAAGAGGCCCTGCTCCCGGATCTCCTGCGCTGCGATATGGAGAGAACTCAACAGGCTCGGAAGCTTTAGGGTTTAGGGTTCAGGGTTTAGGGTTTAGGGTTTAGGGTTCAGGGTTTCGGGTTTAGGGACCCTAGGGTTTAGGGTTTAGGACTTAGGGTTTTGCGCTTTAAGCACTAAACTCTTTTTCGGGGTGTAGGGTGTATGGGCCACGGTCATCTCTTAAATGACTCTTCCTCTTTGTGATACCTACAAGTACAGCATCTTCCAAGAACGGGGACCATAGTTGCATGGCAATGAACCCTGAGACCAACAAGCCAAACTCAACAAAAATCCTAAGGTCCACAACCCTCAACCCTTAAGCCATTCAGCCCCCTAAACGGGTTTAGGGTTTAGAGTCTAGGGTTGATAACCCTACACCCTACACCCTACACCCTAAACCCCACACCCCACACCCTAAACCCTAAACCCTAAACCCTAAACCCTAAACCCTAAACCCTAAACCCTAAACCCCGGTTGCCCTGTTTCCAAAGCCCTTGAAACCTTTTAACACTCTGAAACCCCACGCCCAAAAAGACCATGAGATCGGAATTCCACCCTAAGCCCTGAACCCTAAACCCCAAACCCCAAACCCTAAACCCTACACCCTAAACTCTAAACCCCAAACCCTATAAACCCTACAGCTAGAAGTCGGCATTCCGAAGCCCCTCCCCCCAGCAGAAGCTCCTGGACCGCCTGTGATTGCCACTGGCGGAGGAGCCGCCTGAAACACAATGACCAGGGTTTAGGGTTTAGGGTTTAGGGTTTGGGGTTTGGGGTTTGGGGTTTGGGGTTTGGGGTTTGGGGTTTGGGGTTTGGGGTTTGGGGTTTGGGGTTTGGGGTTTGGGGTTTGGGGTTTAGGGACCAGGGCCTAAGCCATAGAACGACCATGCGGAGACGCGTGAAAGTGTGAGAGGGAGGGGGGTGAGGGAGTGTGGGAGTGAGGGACTAAACCACCCCAAAACCCTAAACCCTAAACCCTAAACCTTAAACCCTAAACCCTACACCCTACACCCTACACCCTACACCCTAAACCCTAAACCCTAAACCCTAAACCCTAAACCCTAAACCCTAAACCCTAAACCCTAAACCCTAAGCCCTGCACCCGCCTATACGGCCGCTGCACGGCAGCCAAAGCCTCGCGACGCTGCTGGACCTCGCGCTTGGCGAGGACCCGGCGCCAGGCGGTCCTGGGATAGAAGACCCCAGGGGTTTAGGGTTTAGGGTTTAGGGTTTAGGGTTTAGGGTTTAGGGTTTAGGGTTTAGGGTTTAGGGTTTAGGGTTTGGGGTTTGGGGTTTGGGGTTTGGGGTTTGGGGTTTGGGGTTTGGGGTTTGGGGTATTAGGGTTTAGGGTTTAGGGTTTTGGTATGAGTGTGCCTCATTCCAGAACACGAGCCCCCTACATACTTGACGGTCTATCCCGTTTGGAGTCAATGAGCCTTGGGAACCCTAAACCCTAAACACTAAACCCTAAACCCTAAACCCTAAACCCTAAACCCTAAACCCCTAACCCCTAACCCCTAACCCCAAAAGCCTAAACCCTAAACCCCAGGTTCACGGTTATAGATTGGGCACTCAGAGTTAGCGAAGTCTGGGTCTGGGAAGTCTCGGACCCTAAGCCCGAAGTTCAGGCAAAGAACATCTGTTTAGGGTTTAGGGTTAGGGTTTAGGGTTTAGGGTTTAGGGTTTAGGGTTTAGGGTTTAGGGTTTAGGGTTTAGGGTTTAGGATTTAGGGTTTAGGGTTTAGGGTTTAGGGTTTAGGGTTTAGGGTTTAAGGTTTAGGGTTTAGGGTAGCCCTGTGTTTCGACACACTTCTGGGTTTCAAGAAGGCAGATGAGGCGACAGTTTTCTCTACACCGGAAAGAGGCCATGCAATGCTTCCGAGAATGGGGGCACCCGTTTGGGGGGAACCTGAGAGGATTAAGAACCCTTAGCCCTAGACCATCAACCCTAAACCCTAAACCCTAAACCCTAAACGCTAAACGCTAAACCCTAAACTCTAAACCCTAAACCCTAAACCCTAAACCCTATTGGAGTATTTCGGACCTCAGGGTGTAAAAGAATCAAGCGTCTGGATGGGCAAGGCGGCCCGGGTTCGGCGCCGCCGCCGTATCCGGAGCACCGTGCCTTGGTAGCCCAGGCACCGGATCGAAATGAGGCTACCCCTTTTCAGTTTGGGAACCTAGGTCCCAAAAATATAAACGGTGCCCTAAACCCTAAACCCTAAACCCTAAACCCTAAACCCTAAACCCTAAACCCTAAACCCTAAACCCTAAACCCTAAACCCTAAACCCTAAACCCTAAACCCTAAACCCTAAACCTAAACCCTAGACCCTAAACCCTAAACCCTAAACCCTAAACCTAAACCCTAAACCCTAAACCCTAAACCCCTGGGCTACCAAAGTGCGGTGAAACCAACTCTGGAGTTGCCGGGCGCTGGAGGACATGGCAAGGAATCGTTGCCTTGCCAGCAGGGATCGGAGCCCGCCCTGCCTCGGCCAGCCGGGTCGCCCTAAGCCCTATGATAGGGTTTAGGGTTTAGGGTTTAGGGTTTAGGGTTTCGGGTTCAGGGTTTAGGGTTTAGGGTTGAGGGTTGAGGGTTGAGGGAGGGTTGAGGGTTGAGGGTTTAGGGTTTAGGGTTTGGGATTTTGGGGCCTTTCATTGGTGCTTTGTTCCGACCGCCGATCGAAAGCAGAGAGGAAAAGCTGCATCCAAGGCACAATGTCGCCACAGCTTGGCATTTTGCCTGATACTCCTGGATCAGTGTGCCAGAATCGGGCCTACCTAGAAACCCTAAACCCGAAACCCGAAACCCGAAACCCTAAACCCTAAACCCTAAACCCTACCTTGAACGCAAAATCCTCTGCGCTAGCTGTCTTGGTGCTGCTTCCTACAAGCTCTGATGGGTTCGACTGGCCTTGATCCTGCAGGATCAAAACCCAACGCCTGACCCTATACAATACAATAAATAACAAGACCACGTGAGGGCTCAAGATGTACTGGTGGGTTTATAGGGTTGGTGGTTGTGCTCAACAACATCGCTGTAAACCACTTGAGGCGGCCGGGATGGTAGCACCTACCCTTGAAGATAATAACCATTCAAGAACGCCAATATGGTCACTTCTCTGACAAACAGTCCCTTTTTGGGGTCCTAATTATAAGGAGGCCCCTCTCATTTAGGACACCCAAAAACGAGGACCGCAATTTAGAGAACTCACCATATCTCAGAAGAAACATCCCAAGCTGAATGTCATCAAGCTTTGCTACGTGCAATCTCCAAGTTCGAACATCTTCAGACACGTGGCCCAGGCTTGGTGGATTCTGTAAGAGTCTTCTTGCCCGGCTTCCGACGCCATATATCCCCTAAACCCTAAACCCTAAACCCTAAACCCTAAACCCTAAACCCTAAACCCCTAGACCCCTAAACCCCTAAACCCTAAACCCCTAAACCCCTAAACCCTACACCCTAAACCCTAAACCCCTAAATTGCAGGTAAAGAGCTCGCCGAGCCAGGCGTCCGCGCTGCACGGATTGCAACTTGGTAGCTGCGCGCTGCCTCCCCAGGGATGGATGTCGGTATGCGGCCTCTTTGGGTTTAGGGTTTAGGGTTTAGGTTTTAGGGTTTAGGGTTTAGGGATCAGGGTTTAGGGCTTAGGGCTTAGGGTTTAGGCTTTGGGGTTTACTCCTAGCCTAAATATGAGAATACGGGACACATAAAAACAAAAAATCGGAAAACACAAAAACCAACCACAGGGCCTACATGGCTGTTGTCCGGGTCTAGGGTTCAAAGCTTAGGGTTTAGGGCTTAGGGTGTAGTTCCAAGCCCATCCTAGGCAGAGGTACTCCCTACTTTGATCCCCATTACGGGCTGTTAGTACTATGGGAAACATCCCAAAATTGTATATAGTCCTTTCCTGGGCATCGAACAACTTCATGGTTTGCAAACTACCCGAAGCCCAACACCCTTCAGCTCCAAAAAATAAGGCACTCCAAAAAAGAACCAGAATTAACTCGTTTAGTTTCGTGTTTACGGTCAAGCAAAATAGTTCGTCTATCGTCAGGTGTCGTTACGTGCAATATCGTACCCCCCTCCCAATCAAAAAAACAACAAAACAAACATAGAAAATAAAAGTAACACAAAGCCTCAAAACCTTGTTCAAGCCTAGGTATGTATATCGGACGCGAGACCTCAACCCCAAAACCTGCAACCTCCCCCACCCCCCACCCTGCCCAACAAAAAGAAAAGAAGTCCAAATAAGTTTAGAGCTCCACTACCTAAACTAAAACCCTAAGGCCCAAAAACGCAACCCCAAGGGTTCAGAAAAGTTTAAGCCCTCCATTCCCAGAACAAACCCATTTGGCAAAGCCTCCCTTTCCCTGATGACCCTCACAGCCTCACCAAACCCCAAACGCGAAAACGCTACATCCTATATCTTGTTTGTAAGTACCTTTTGTAACGGCTTTACCTGACTCATGTTAGCTTACTTCTACCTTGTAGTAACCTGGTTACAACTCGCCTAAAGACATACAACCTACTTATTAGCCGGCGGGCTCAGCCTGTACCCCCTTTACTGGCCCTTTACCCACACCCCAAAACCCAAAACCCAAACTCTATACCCTATACCCTAAACCCTCAACCCTCAACCCTAAACCCCACCCCAAGAAACCCTAAACTCTAAGCCCCTAAGCCCCCTGGCCTCCGCATCTCCTCGGCTAACTTGCGCGCGGCCCTCCCCCGAGCCAGGGCCTGCGCAGGTGGGTTTAGGGTTCATTGGCTCATAGGGTTTAAGGTTTCGGGTTTCGGGTTTAGGGTTTCGGGTTTAGGGTTTAGGGTTTAGAGCTTAGGGTTTAGGGTTCATCGCTCAGCGCAGCTGGTGCGGAAAGCAGAACATTCGGGGACTTGCAACGTGACGACACATCTTTCTGGTTACGTGCAGGAAGTGTAGAGCGCCGAAAATCTGGCCACTCCACTTCATGACCTAAAGAAAGGAAAGAGATTCGGCTGAAGCACTCTCAGACCACCAGTGCTTGTACCGTCATGCAACGAACGCGTGATCCGTGCAACAATTAGAGCAAGAAGCCCTCCTCCCCAACTTCGACACACCAACACCCCCTCCACCCCCACCCCCCAAAAGGATAAAACCGGTAACAAAATGACACCCGTTGTTGAATAGAATTTGGCGGAAATGACTCTGTTGCGGTCTCGCCCTAAACCTTCAGCAAAAAAACATTCGGAATACGGTATCAGGTTTGGCCCGAACCTTTCACGAAAAATCCGAAATGGGGTCCTCATTTTCGTGTAAGGTGCCCCCAAACCTTCCCACAACCCGGATAACCCTAACCCCCAACCCCACTAAGCCCCTAAACCGTCAAGCCTTTAACCCCGAGAACTCTACACCCTACACCCTATAAACCTAAACCCTAAACCCTAAACCCTAAACCCTAAACCCTAAACCCTAAACCCTAAACCCTAAACCCTAAACCCTAAACCCTAAACCCCAGGGGGGTGCCTGGATTCGAACCGCCGCCTCGCGCACGCTGCGGAACCGGAGCCTCGCTTGCCGCTCCCGGCAGCGCGCCTGGATCTGCACGGAGGCCTGTCACAGGGTTTAGGGTTTAGGGTTTAGGGTGTAGGGTTTTAGATTTTAGGGTTCAGGGTTGAGGGGGTTTTGGGTTTAGGGTTAGCAGTTTGAGGGCTTAGGATTAGGGTTTAGATTTCAAGGTTCAGGGTTGAGGGGGTTTTGGGTTTAGGAGTTTGAGGGTTTAGGAATTAGGGGTTTAGAGTTTAGGGTTCAGGGTTTAGGGGGTTTTGGGTTTAGGAGTTTGAGGGTTTAGGAATTAGGGGTTAAGGTGTGGGAGTTATTTAAGGGGTTTAGGGTTTAGGGTTAAGGGTTTAGGGTTAGCAGTTTGAAGGTTCAGGGGGTACGGGTTTAGGGTTGAAGGGTTAAGGGTTTAGGGTTTGGGGTTTGAGGGTTGAGGGTTTAGGAGTTTGAGGGTTTAGGGTCTAGGAGTTTGATGGTTTAGGGGTTTGCGGGTTCAAGGTTTAAGGGGTTGGGGGTTTGAGGGTTTGGGAGTTTGAGGGTATACCGGTAGGGGATCAAATGTAAATTATTTGGGATCAAAAACTAATTTACTGAAGGCTTCGAAGGCTTGTTGCAGGCGGAGCGGAGGCTGTAATCGCTCAGAAATGCAGCATTTCTGGCAGTTTGCAAGGTCTAAATACAAAAAAACACGGCATTTATGAGGCCCTAAACCCTAAACCCTAAACCCTAAACCCTAAACCCAGTTAGACTGTTCAGTAAGTTCCCACGACAAAGATCTGCACGGTGGAGCTCGGAGACCTGCTGTTTAGGGTTTGGGGTTTAGGGTTTAGGGTGGTATTGTGGCCTACTTAAGTAGAGGTCGAAAACCCCTGGCAACCTCGTGTAGGAAACATTGCGGCCATCGGTGGCGACTTCAAAAAAGACAATTTAAACAAAAAGACGTAAACAAAGTATTAGCCAAAACCCTAGATTCCCACTCCCAAACTCCTCATGCTCACGGCACTTTGGCGCGGCAATGCATTCTCATGGCTTAGGGGTTAGTGCTGTAGGGCCTAAACCCTAAACCCTAAACCCTAAACCCTAAACCCTAAACCCTAAACCCTAAACCCTAAACCCTAAACCCTAAACCCTAAACCCTAAACCCTAAACCCTAAACCCTAAACCCCAAACCCGACTGTGTGTTCGGAAAGTCGCAAAGGGGCCCAGTCCCACTCCAAAACCCCAGAGTCCGCCGAAGTGCATAGCAGGAGGTTCAGGGTTTAGGGTTTAGGGTTCAGGGAACTACTGACTGAAAATAGCAGCATTTCTGAGTTTCTAGAGAGGCTGCAGATACTGTATATAGCAGCAGTTCTGCGCTTTCAGAGGTTGGAAATGATGTACGCTGCAGCATTTCTGAGTTTCCAGAGGCTGCAAATACTGTAAATAGCAGCATTTCTGCGCTCTCAGAGGCTGGAAATACTGTGAATAGCAGCATTTCTGAGTTCTGAATTTCCAGAGGCTGCAAATCAATGCTGGCATCTTGGCATTAGAAGTTTCGAAAATGCGTATACTCTAAAGCAAGCCAGAACGATGTAAAAAGAGCGGGGGGTTGGGGGGGGGCGCGCCCCCGCCCCCCCCCCCCCCCCATGCGCAAACACAATGCTCGCATCACGGGTTTCGCAAGTATGCTGAAGCACCTAGCACGACTTAACATCAAGCGGGGGGCGGGGGGGTTGGTTGGGGGGCCTTGCACCCCCCCCCTCCCCGGATTTGCAAACACGACGCTCGCATCAAAGGCGTCGAAAAGACGCGTATGCTTTGAAGCAAGCTGGCACGACTTTAAAAAGGCGGGGGGTTGTTGGGGTGGGCCCTGCCCCCCCATTTGCAAACACAATTCTCGCATACTGGGTTTCGAAAAGATGCGTATGCTTTGAAGCAAGCTGGCACGACTTCTTCCTTGATTTCTTTCTTTCGTTATTTCTAGCATTTCTTTCTTTCTTTCTTCACGTCTGCCTTCCTTCCTTCCTTCCTTGCTTGCTTCCTTGCTTCTTTGCTGCCTTGCCTCCTTGCTTCTTTGCTGCCTTGCTTCCTTGCTTCCTTGCTTGCTTGCTTCCTTCCTTCCTTCCTGCCTTCCTTCCTTGATCCTAAATAAATTTTCTTGACCCTAAAATTTGTTTGATCCGCATGCCTGAGGGGTTTGCGGGTTTAGAGTTTGAGGGTTTGGGAGTTTGAGGGTTTAAGGGTTTGCGGGTTTAGGGTTTGAGGGGCAGGGGTTTGAAATAAAAGCTCCCGCACCGGCAGAAAAAACGCAAACGCGCCCCGCACCCACAGCAAAACCAGAAACGCGCCCCGCACCTGCAACAAAAAAGCACGTTTCAAGCACTTGGAGGGTTCTCCCTAGACCCTAAACGCCAAACCCCCGAACTGGTAAGGGTTTAGGGTTTATAGGGTTCAGGGTTCAGGGTTCCGGGTTTAGGGTTTAGGGTTAGGGTTTATGAGGGTCGCTGTCGTGCCATTTACGGGAGAAGGACACGCACTTTCCATTCCAGCCTCATCGCGCTCGGCCTTGTTTTGGGTGCATGAACTGAACATATACTTCAGTAGATGGAATCTCAGATTGAAGCTTGCAGGACGGTTTGGAATTCACTGTCTGCTAATGTCCACGCAGCATGATTGCAAAGGGCTGGCAAACAGCTTTTTGGCTTTGCGTGTTGAGGGCGACAAGGTGTCTACATCACTTCTCCCGGCAGCTCAGAAACACTTGTCGGCTAAATTTTGCAAACATCTGCGAGATTGGGGTCAGCCTAGCTTCGAGCCCAAGTAAAACTGGATTGGTACCATCTTCGTGTCTTCAGGCAGCTTGAGAACTAGCACTTGATTTGATCTTCGTGCTCCATTTGCTTCAGCGCCTGTCCGCTGCAGCACATCTTCTCAGAATTTTAGGGCTTAGGGGCTTAGGGTCTATTTAAAGAGAGCACTGCGGCAAACTTCATCAGCTGACGGAGTTAAATGTCTCGCGTTCTTCAGGCGCCTTCCGTCTGTGCCAAAAATTATGAAGCACAAACCCATCCAGCTCTGCAACAAAACCTTTGTTTCTCATGAACTTCCATCAAATTCGATCGTTCATCAAGCTTACATAGCACATGGGATTGCCGCTCCATCTTTGGTTACTCCCTGATAGCAAGACCCTTAGGCCCTGCATGGCCTTGTGAAGAAGGACCAAGCAGATCTTGGTGAGTTGGGGCTTCAGCGACGTGCGCCTGTGAATCGGGCAAGGGCTCAATTTAGCAGATTCAAGCATGTTGGCAGGCGCGGGCTCTGTGTGTTTGATGTGCAGGACGAGGCGCGTGTCACTCTGACGTCAACCTCTCTTCCGCTTAGCAGTCATAGCTTCAGTGGGCGCACGAACCATCTGCGATATTCTTCGCAGAGTGACCTCAAAAGATGCTGCGTGATTTTACCGGTGCAAAGGTTGATGTGGGCAAGGCTGAGGTGGGTGGCTCAGGTCTTGACAGGATTTCCGACTTCAGTTGCTCCTTTTTTTGACCGCTGTCGTCGTTGTCTTGTCGCCATCTGGAGCGAACGATTGAGGTTTTGAAGGCGGGATGCTTTCAACAGTTGGCTCGACAAACGTTGCCACATCACAATTTGCGGGCAAGTTGCAGACAAAATCGCCTACAGGCGCTGAAGACTACCGTGTAGTGTCTTTTGCGGTGGGTAGTCTTAGGCATGAGCGGATAGAGGATCCCGGGTTCTGGGCGATTTATTATGAGCGATCTGGTTCCGCTGAACGTATAGTAGGCAATTGCACATCGCATCTTTTTTGGCGCTTTAGCGTGGTGATGTTTCTGCTCAGAAGCTATCGCCCGACACATCGGAGTGACCAGGCGTTGCACCCACGCGTGTTCTGAGTTGAGGGCATCACATTTATGCTTCTTGATCAGGGTGTGGATTCGAGTCCACGCGCTCGTCTGCATGTCCGCCTGGGCTTGTGTGATAGGACCTCGCTTGTGTTTTTGTTACAGTGGGGATAGGTTTTGGAAACAGCCCAGGTCGCTCAACGTAGCTACCTTCCCATTTCCCACGGCCCGGGTCCACTGCCACCACTTGGCATTGACCCGCCCTGATCATGAAAGGCACTGGTCCCTGATCACCAGGGAACACTCCCACCTTGCGCAGGAAGGCCGAAACCACCAGGGCCGACAAAAGAGCTTCCCTGGAAATCGGCACTGGTAGCGGCTCCAGTTTTTCCACCTCAGCACCAACGAGGTTTTTTGTCTCCTCAGAGAACTGACTCCACTTCAGGCTGAGCTCAATGCTTTTGTAGCATAGAGCTTCGGGAGCACACCCCCACCCAGGAGTTTGAGGTAGTCCAGCTCCCCACCTTGCACCCCAAGTTTGACCACTTGGTTTCCAAATTGTGGGCGGGAGAGGATACCTTTGGTGGATCCCACCCGAACCTGGAGGACCACTCCACGCGGGCGAAAAGCGTCCGACATCCACACCAGGGTTTCTGGGAGCTCAAGGGTCCACGATGGCTTCGGATTGATGCCACACCACCTCTTGGATAGAGGCACTTTCTTCCCCTTCACATCTGCAAGATTGGGCACGCCCGCCAAACATAGATGTTTGCAGATTTCGCTGAGTTCCGACTTGACCGTGCGGCTCCTGCAAAGCGGGGGAGGATTCTCGCAAGTTTCATCAGTGTGTTATTTGAGTGCATGGCTAGGCGCTTTGTGACTCTGAAGTCCATTTGTCTTCCGCTCTTCAGCCACAGTTGCAGTGTCTGTGAGACGAAGATCAAGACTGGCTGCGCTAGCTTTCGTGACAAGTTGACATGGCTTGTGGAAATTTTGGTTCTTGATAACGCCATGTCCCACGCCTGAAACAAGACAGCGTGCCTCGCAATCTAGTTACACGAGTTGCGGGCTCTTGGGCCGCTGGTCTTGAAGGCATTGCCAATGACCGGCTCACTTTTCGATCGTGCGACTTTGGGCGTCTTGGACTGCCAGCTGGGGCTGGATGGGTCGCGCTGACCAATATCCACATCCTTCATCAATGCATCAACCATAAAAAATGGTCTTGCAGCCTAGCAAGCATCGTCCAGCACGCAAGCCATATTCAATCGCACATGCGGGAATCCAAAAAAACAACTTCAACAACGTGCTTCAGAGTTCACAGAGTCTTAAAGTAGCCATTGCATCTTAATGACGGTCTCGTCGGACCTGTCCCCATTGAGGCGCGTCCTCCGCGCATCGAACGTAAATAAATCCCGCGGCCTCGCACCGCGATACGTCACTTCCGCTCTAAGAAACAAATCATGCCAAGCAACCGCGACGGCAGCAACAGGACAAGTAAGTCAAAACACGACAGGGTGTAGGGTTTAATTAGGGTTTAGGGTTTAGGGTTTACGGTTTAGGGTCTAGGGTTTAGGGTTCAGCATTTCAAGTCCAAGCATTCACTAGTCAAGAAATTACTCCAGAAAAATACCCACCCGCCCAAAGAAACCCACAACATTAAGAAAATATTTCACTTATGGAACGACCTTGCCCAGTGAGAAATGACCGTGCCCAGAAAACAATGACCTTGCCCAGCAAACAAATGACCTTGCCCAGTAAAAAAATGACCTTGCCCAGTAAAAAAATGACCTTGCCCAGTAAACAAAAATGACCGGGCAAAAAATGACCTTGCCCAGTAAAAAATGACCTTGCCCAGTAAAAGAATTCCTGGGCAAGGCCATTTTTTTCTGGGCAAGGAAGTTTTTTGCTGGGCAAGGTCTTTTTGGACCGAACGACCTTGCCCAGAAAAAAATGGCCTTGCCCAGTAAATCACCTTGCCCAGCAAACAAATGACCTTGCCCAGTAAAAAGAATGACCTTGCCCAGTAAACAACAATGACCTTGCCCAGTGAAAAAATATCCTTGCCCAGTAACAAAAAATGACCTTGCCCAGTAAAAGAATTACTGGGCAAGGTCGTTTTTTGGAACGAACGACCTTGCCCAGAAAAAATGACCTTGCACAGTAACAAAAATGACCTTGCCCAGTAAAAAAATCACCTGGCCCAGTAAAAAATGACCTTGCCCAGTAAAAAAAGCAACCTTGCCCAGTAAAAAATGACCTTGCCCAGTAAAAAATGACCTTGCCCAGTAAAATACTGGGCAGGGACAGGTTTTTTACTAGGACCGAACGACCTTGCCCAGTAAAAATATAACCTTGCCCAGTAAGACAAATGACCTTGCCCAGTAACTCCAGTAACATTTAAATTATATATGAAAGAGAGGTTTAGGGTTTAGGGTTTAGGGTTTAGGGTTTAGGGTTTAGGGTTTAGGGTTTAGGGTTTAGGGTTTAGGGTTTAGGGCTACTGAGGCCACCAGCCCTGCATCACTCCTGCCTCGATGCGGGCCTTCCGCAGGGCAGCGTCCAGGAAGGCAGCAACCTCCCTCTTCATGAAGATCATGTGCCGGCCGATCCTGAACTTCGTAGGGTTTTAGGGTTTTAGGGTTTTAGGGTTTTAGGGTTTTAGGGTTTTTTTCGGGTTTTAGGGTTTTGGGGTTTTGCGGGGTTTAGGGTTTTAGGGTTTAGGGTTTTAAGGGTTTTAGGGGTTTAGGGTTTTAGGGTTTTAGGGTGTTAGGGTGTTAGGGTGTTAGGGTGTTAGGATTTTAGGGTTTTAGGGTTTTAGGGTTTGGGGGTTTTAGGGTGTTAGGGTTTTAGGGTTTTAGGGTTTTAGGGTTTTAGGGGTTTAGGGTTTTCGGGTTTTAGGGTTTTGGGGTTTTGCGGGGTTTAGGGTTTTAGGGTTTAGGGTTTTAAGGGTTTTAGGGGTTTAGGGTTTTAGGGTTTTAGGGTGTTAGGGTGTTAGGGTGTTAGGATTTTAGGGTTTTAGGGGTCTAGGGTTTTCGGGTTTTAGGGTTTTGCGGGGTTTAGGGTTTTAGGGTTTAGGGGTTTAAGGGTTTAAGGGTTTTAGGGTTTTAGGGTTTTAGGGTTTTAGGGTTTTAGGGGTCCAGGGTTTTCGGGTTTTAGGGTTTTGGGGTCTTGCGGGGTTTAGGGTTTTAGGGTTTAGGGTTTTAAGGGTTTCAGGGGTTTAGGGTTTTAGGGTTTTAGGGTGTTAGGGTGTTAGGGTTTAGGGTTTCGGGTTTAGGCCGACCGATCGTGAGGTTTTTTTGGGGGTTTAGGGGCTTATGATTCAGGCTCTGGGGTTTAGGTTGAATGTTTCGGTTAGGGTTTGGCAATTCGTGGGGCTGCACCTGATCCCCCGAATCCTCGAAGTCGTACACACAATTTGACAAGTTATCTGAACCCTAAACCCTTTAACCTAGAAACCCCAGACTCTAGACCCTAAACCCTTTAACCGATAAACCCTAGAATGTCCAATCGGCAGCCCTTGACCCCAGACCCTAAACCCTATGACCTATACGACCTAAACCGTAACCCTAAACCCTAAACCCTAAACCCTAAACCCTAAACCCCTAAAACCTCTCCGCCCGAAACCCTAGACGCATGCAAGCATCTGCAGCCCATAGCCCGGCGCATCTGGGAGCACATGCGCAACTCGCTCCTGCAGTCGCCTCACAGTGTAGGGGTTGGGGTTTAGGGTTTAGGGTTTAGGGTTTAGGGTTTAGGGTTTAGGGTTTAGGGTTTAGGGTTTAGGGTTTAGGGTTTAGGGTTTAGGGTTTAGGGTTTAGGGTTTAGGGTTTAGGGTTTAGGGTTTAGGGTTTAGGGGGTTTAGGGTTTAGGGTTTAGGGTTTAGGGTTTAGGGTTTAGGGTTTAGGGTTTAGGGTTTAGGGTTTAGGGTTTAGGGTTTAGGGTTTAGGGTTTAGGGTTTAGGGTTTAGGGTTTAGGGTTTAGGGTCAAAACTTAACAGTGTAGGGAGTCAGGGTTTGCATGGAGGGCTTCGGATCCGGGATCTAGGGTGTAGGGTTTAGGTGCGGGCTTAGTGCAGCGCAACCTCCTCCTCTCACCAAGAAGGTAGCGAAGTTGGCAAAGGGGCTCTGAGCCCTAAGCCCTAAACCCTATATACCCTAAACCGCAACTACGGTTCCTGGAATGAGCTGCGTGTTACGCTTTTGGGACTCTGTTGGCCTGCCACGGTTGATAGGGACTTTAGGGCGTTTGGGTGGCTTAGGGTTTAGGGTTCTTAGGCACTTCTAGGGTTCAGGTATTTTGGATGGTTGGGGTTGAGGGTTTGGGTTTAGGGCTCAGGGTTGTTTTTGGGTTTGGGCCTTTTTTAGGGTTTCTAGAAGTTGACGCGGCTGAGGATATAGGGCGTATGGCTGTTTAGGCCTTCGGGTCGCGTGGTTTAGGGTTTAGGGTTTAGGGTTTAGGGTTTAGGGTTTAGGGTTTAGGGTTTAGGGTTGGTTGTCCAAGGGTCCTTTAGGGTATCCAATTTGGGCTTAGGGACTTCTAGGGCTGGGTGCTTCGGCTGTTTAAGGTTTAGGGTTTAGGGTTTAGGGAGGTTTAGGGTTTTCGGCTTAGGGTCGTTTGGGGATTAGGGCTTGTGGCATTTTTTGGATGCGGGACGTTTGGGCTTTTGGGTTTAGAGCTTACGGTTGTTGGGGACTTCGGCCAGAGGGTGTACCGGCACACGAGTCAGCTTGACACGCACTTTTTCTTTTAAACTTTACATTGTTGTTGCTAGGTTGGGTATGCGCAGGCTGCAAAGTCACATGGATGGTTGCTGCATATGGCCCCTGGCCCCAACAAGCCTCTAAGCTTTAAGTTTCGCAACCCCAAACCCCAAATCTCTTCTGCGCGCAGCGCCCGTTGTCCTAGAGCTCTTGCCAAGTGTCTTGCTGCTGCGCGATGTGGTCTCCGCTGACAATGGCAAGGCTACTGAAAACTAGCATGGCCAGACCTATGAAGCCGTAGCGGAACGTCTGACCCCAGCGGACGGTCTCCCACACCTCTTGTCCTTCGTGGACTGGCGTGTCTTCTAGAAGTCTGGGCGCTGCATCAAAGGAAAACGCTTGGACCACCATGTCGTCTAGCTGGCTGATGTATTCCACAGACATGCAGTTGAGGACGACGGCCTCTTGATTCACCGAGGTCGCAACATAGGCCCAGATCACAAGCGCGATCAACATCTCAGAGAAGTGCTTTACCTGAAAGAAGCGCACACCTGCGTACCACGCGCTTTGTGCTTCTGGCTCTGCCTTGTGGGCAGAAACCTTCATGTACCCGATCGCCGAAATAGACGATTTCAGTTCGTTAACTTTCGTAATGCCAACGACGAACACCCCCGCAAGGTGAAGCAAGGAAGGCACGATCCTGTGCGGATGTGTCACCAACAGCAATACCTGTGAAGAACTGAAGGCTTCTGCTGGGGGGCAATGTGTATATGCAAAAATGCCAATAAAGAAGGCGAAGACAAGCTTGGCCACGACGGCGCAGAAGCAGACAAAGATCTCCCATTTCAGAAGCTTGGCATATGCAGCTCGCTCCCACTGTTCCAGGCTCTCTGCCTGCTTCACGAGCAGCAAGACTACGCATGCTTCGATGCAGTGTGGGCAATGGACGCGCATCTTTCCAGCCAGCCTGGTGTTCAGCTCCACTACGTCATGTACCGACAGATCGTTAGATACCAGGCAACCAGCTTCCTGGGAATACGATTCCATGGAGTCGTTGGACATGCTGGAGGACCTAACAGAAGTCATCCGAATGGGTGGTGGGATTTTTGCGCAGCTCCTTTGAGCAATGCCTGCAGATATGAGAGACAGGATCTGGGGGCAAACAGAGCATTGTCGGAGCTAAGCAAGACATACAGTAACGCTGCCCACCACTTTTCGTCGTAGTTTGCAGATGTACTTCACCCCCCCCCCCCCCTCCCTTCGATGAGGTGACCCGGAATAGTTCGCTGGCCGGGTCATCCCGGCACGGGCACTCCCTGCGTTCAACAAGTGCGGAAATGTTTGGAGGAGGCCACCAGCTTCTGCCAGCTCGCTCCTGAATCGAGAGCAACATTAGGAACCCCCGCACTCGTTCCCCCTCTGGCCGGCCCCCCCCCTAGATCGACCTGATCAACCTCAAACCCTAAACCCTAAACCCTAAACCCTAAACCCTAAACCCTAATTCCCTAGCTGAGTCTTCCCGCGAGCACCTGAAGAGCAGGCTCGCCGCTTCGGCGTACTCGCCACAGCCAACTTCGAATTCCAGCCTTTCCAAGCGGCTCACGGGGACTTCCCTGCAACTTGGGGATTTAGGGTTTAGGGTTTAGGGTTTAGGGTTTAGGGTTTAGGGTTTAGGGCCAGTTTAGGGTTTAGGGTTTAGGGTTTAGGGCTTAGGGTTTAGGATATAGGGTTTAGGGTGCAGGGTTACTTTGGAGTAGACCCTGGAAGGCATATACTTTTTAGGTACAAGTAGCTATAATAGGACCCAGAACCCCAAAAAAGGCAATAAAGTATAGTACTCCAAAACCCTTACCTGTAACGGGTCTTACCTGTGAGTCTGAAACATGAGAAGTCACTCTCACAAACCTACATGCTGATGCCACCACTTTGGGCAACATCAGGGTGAACGAACCTCTAAACCCTAAACCCTAAACCCTAAACCCTAAACCCTAAACCCTAAACCCTAAACCCTAAAGCCTAAACCCCAAACCCTAAACCCCTGCACTTTGCAAAGCCCACAGGGCGCCTAGACCACAGGGGCTTCTCCAGCCGCCAGTACTCCAAGACAGCCTCCACAGGAACCGTTTCTGGCTGGTTCTTAGGGTTTAGGGTTGAGGGTTTAGGGTTTAGGGTTAGGGCTTAGGGTTACAAGTAGTAGGGAATGAGGGAATGAGGTACCTTATCAGCCCTTAATGGGTATAGAAAGGGCCCGCAGTCCCTCATTCCCTACGAGTAACCAGGGGCATTTTGTTTGCTGGGGGTGGATGCTCTGAAGATTTGAAACTACAAATCCCTAAACCCGAAACCCTAAACCCTAGATCGAGGTTAGATGTAGGGTTTTCAGGGATTCAGTGTTTTAGATTGGCGGTCTCAAATGACCTTAAACAAATATACACTGGATTCTTGAGGACTTGAGGATTTCAGTTGTCGTGCTGTGGCCCGGTCTAGGGTCTAGGCCCTACTTTCATACTACACCAAAGCAACCATCGATTTCGGCACCCCAGAACCAAGAAACACTCCCTAAAACCTAAAACCCCAAACCCTAAACACAAAACAAAAACGGTTTAGGGTTTAGGGTTTAGGGTTTAGGGTTTAGGGTTTGGGTTTAGGGTTTAGGGTTTAGGGTTTAGGGTTTAGGGTTTAGGGTTTAGGGCCTAGCCCCCACGCCTCGCGATGGCGGTGCCGCACAGGGTAGCCGGCGCGGCTGACACGGATTGCCTGGCAAAAGAGCAGCACCCTCAAGAACGGAATCCATACCCAAAACCGACTTTCTTGTAGGTTCCCTAAGACTTCCAGAATGGGTTTTGTAGACAAAAATGTAGGTGTTGGGTCCTTAGGTAGCCTTGAGCTGCAGTTGTTACCAGATGAGATCTAAGCAAGGTGTAGACTAGCAGCTTGAGGGCTTCAGGGTTTAGGGCTTATTAGGGTTTAGGGGTACAGGGTTTAGGGTCTATGGTGGCTGGGCTCTCCACTGCTCTCCCCAGGCGGCCTCCAAAACGCCCTGGTATCTCAGCTGCTCCACCACCGAGCTTCTGTGCAAGACCTGCCAGGACTCTCGCACGGGCGGAGGACCCAACAGCCTAAACCCCGAAACCCCTAACACGAACCCTAAACCCTGAACCCTAAACCCTGAACCCTGAACCCTAAACCCGAAGCCCTAAGCCCGAAACCCTAAACCCTACCGCCAGAATGGAGCTTCGAGGGAAGCCTCCTACGAAGTTGCAAGGCGCGCCTGCGGCTTGTTCTGCGGGTTCGGCTTGATGCACCTTCAGGTTGCGAGGGTCTACGGAAGCTTTCGGGGGGGGGGGGGGGGGCTAGGGTTTAGGGTTTAGGGTTCAGGGTTCAGGGTTTGGGGTTTGGGGTTTGGGGCTTCGGGTTTAGGGTTGGGCGTTTTGAGTGGCAGGGCGCGGTATTCGACATCGAGTTGCTGTGACGTCGAAGATTTTGCGAGCCTACTTATTTATGGATGCTTGGGTCAAAAGAACATCGTGTCGATGAAGTCAGTCCATCTCTTGCAGAGCGATTAGGCTGAGATCCCAAATTCTAAAGTAGCTGCAGAAAGCAGCATCCCTTGCGTGGCCGCGGATGACATGCAGACAGCTTCGGACACGCTGTCAACATACTCAGTCCTCAACACCTCCACGCCATCTAGCGCAACTTCCAACAGATAACGGGTTGAAGGTCATGTAAGGTTTAGGGGCATTTGAAAATTCAGGGCTGAAGGATTCTTAAGGATAGGCGTCTGGAAAGAAATAAAGGTTTTTTTGGGGTCTAGGATACCGTTGGGGCTTCCAGGATTTGTCGGGCTGGGCTTAGAGACCCTAAACACCTGACAAAGCCCCCTAGACCCCATAAACCCTCCAAACCCTAAAAACCCTAAACAAAACATAAACCTCATAAACCCGATTAAACTCCACAAACACAGCCCGAATACCAAACCCTAAACCCTGAACCCTAAACCCTAAACCCTAAGCCCTAAACCCTAAACCCTAAACCCTAAACCCTAAACCCTAAACCCTAAACCCTAAACCCTAAACCCTAAGCCCTAAACCCCGGCCTGATGAAGTGGGGATGTGTGGAGCGCACGCTAGTCATCAGCTCGCGCAGCTGTTGCCGGAATCTGTGGCGGGCTTGCTGCTCTTCGGGCGGCTTCGGGCAAGCCCTAAACCCTAAACCCTAAACCCTAAACCCTAAACCCTAAACCCTAAACCCTAAACCCTAAACCCTAAACCCTAAACCCTAAACCCTAAAGTCCAGGACCGAGGGGCTCCAGGGAGACGGAGTAGGCCTTGGCCTTTCGAACGCGGCCTGTGGAGGCGCACGTCTGCGTGCCGAAGCTGCGCCCCTCCTCTGCACTTTGGTGGGGTTTAGGGTTTAGGGTTTAGGGTTTAGGGTTTAGGGTTTAGGGTTTAGGGTTTAGGGTTGAAAGTTGAGGGTTGAGGGTCGGGGGTTCAGGGTTTGAGTGGAGGAGAGAGGAGACTTCTGGGCAACAAATGAACCCGAGAACCCCCTAAAAATTGAACCCCAAACCCTGACGCTAAACCCTAAACCCTAAACCCTAAACCCTAAACCCTAAACCCTAAACCCTTAGCCCTAAGCCCTAAGCCCTAAGCCCTAAGCCCTAAGCCCTAAACCCGAACTTGAATATCAACCCCCCCCCAAGCCCAAAATCGGGTTTCGGGTTCCTGGGGGGCACTTGGGTCCTCCTGGAAGCGACTTCGAAGGAACTCGCTGGAGCTGGCTTTCATGCTCTCCATGGCATCCGGCGAGAGGGTGTCTTTGTTCCTCAGACCCGAAACCCTAAACCCCAAACCTGAAAACCTAAAGCCTTGAACCCGAAACCCTAAACATCCAGAAACACCCAAAACCTATGCGGGGGAAACCTAAAAAAATCTACGTTGTCGGGTCGTGGCCTGCAGGAGAAGGCTGGCATTTCTGCCTAGTAAGCAAACTCACAGCTACAATTACCACATGCTCCTGCGAACCTGGAGGGTTTAGGGTTTAGGGTTTAGGGTTTAGGGTTTCGGGTTTCGGGTTTAGGGGTCGGGAGCAGCATAGTTCCAGCTAGCTGCTTGAACAGGAAGTCGCGGGATTCGTACTCCACCGCGCCGGCGAAGTGGTTCACCAGGAAGTTACCCCGCCGCCGCATCACCACCTTTCATGGTAGCCCAATATCCATGTTATGATAAGGGCACGCTTTTTTTGAGTTGGTTATTTTAGAAGGGGAACCATAAAAAAAAAAAAAAAAAAGAAGTACAGGGTACCACTGGGCTATCAAGCTGTCGAAGCTGCTTACGACATGGTCTCACGGTTTGCCATCCGGTGCAGTGCAGTGTGGTCTTCTGGAGGCTACTTTGCGTCTCGAAACCATCCTAAAAACCCAAGCCATGACGGTTTTTGTGCATGAAGCCTATAAAGTAGACTTCTTTCAGGATTCTTAAATGACCTACAAGACAAGGGGGCTTTGGGTTCACCCGCGGACGAGGTTCAGCGGGTCTGCGTGTGAGTGCGTCTGGGATGGTTGGGGTTAGAGTGATGCCTGGACCCTGAAAATTGTGTATCTTCATTTTGATTCCACCAGTTAACTACAGTTTACTACTTTTTTGCTGAAGAACCCCAAAAAATGTTTCTAAAAGTCTTCCTTATACAGGCAATATGGGATTATTGATTTGTGCCTTTTTGAGGGTTCTTAAGCAAGTTCAAGGTCCAGTCTTGTCCAGGGTGCCTGGAAGATCGCATGGTTGGAGTACTTGGACGACAGCCTCGGGATGCAAAGGAGAACCGAAGCCCGCAGCAGTGACTTTTGCTCATGCACTGGGTGCTTTGGGGGTCTAGGGTTTAGGGTTTCGCATTTAGGGTTTAGGGTTTACCATAATCTGTTTGGGGATAATGACAGCATGATCTTGTCCCCTAAACCCCCTAAACCCCTACATCCGCAAACCTGTAAGCCCCCACCCAAACCCCTACGACCCCCCACCAACCCTATCAACCCCTATCAACCCTATCAACTCTACCAACCCTGTCAACCCTACCTAAACCCTAAACCCTAAACCCTAAACCCTATCAACCCTATCAACCCCTTCCTTGTGTGCACGCACGGGCAGCTTGTTGAACCAGCCGGTGGAGCTGCCACCGGGGAGGTTTCCCTCCTGGCAAGTTTGCCGGAGTGTCAGATCCCTAAGTTTAGGGTTTAGGGTTTAGGGTTTAGGGTTTAGGGTTTAGGGTTTAGGCTTCCCTACTAATCCCTGAATTACAGCCGGTATTTCCCCCTTTTATACCCCAAATTGAACAGAATCCCTTGAAAGGGACCCCAAAAAGGGTACCCGCTGTGGGAGCGGTGGCCGGATTCTGACAACGGCGCTTGTTCGACTTGGTGCTTCGGGTAGGGATTCGGGTTTCGGGTTTTAGAGTTTAGGGTTTAGGGTTTAGGGTTTAGGGTTTAAGGTTTAGGGTTTAGGGTTTAGGGTTTAGGGCTGCATGAAACTTAGGTTTGGGAAAGCTCCTCATCCAGCATCGGCAGAAGCCCTTCCAGAGAAAGCCCGCGAGGCGCCTGGATGCTTCCTGGGCTTCGGCCTATAGGCCCCAAACCCTAAGCCCTAAACCCTAAACCCTAAACCCCAAACCCCAAACCCCAAACCCTAAACCCTAAAACCCTAAACTCCGCCAAGCCCGCAAGCCTCAACCCTCCGGCCTCGGTTTCTGCACGATATTTTTCGGGCTTTAGGATCTAGGCTTGCAAAGTTTGGGGTTTACGGTTCAGGGTTTAGGGTTTAGGGTTTAGGGTTTAGCTTGCAAAGTTTGGGGTTTAGGGTTCAGGGTTTGGGGGCTTGTAAAGTTTGGGGCTTAGGGTTCACGAGGTTTAGGGTTGAAGCTTGATAAGGTTTGGGGGCCCTCGCAGCTAGAGGCTAGAACAGGCTACTTCGAACTCCCACCTTTCTAGGGTCTCGGGTTTATATAGGGTTTGGGGGAACCCTGAAACCCTTAAATGCTTGAATCCTGAATCCCTGAAACCCTTGAACCCTTAAACCCTTGAATCCTGTAATCACCCTGAAGCCCTTATGCCCTTGAATCCTGAAACCCTGAAGCCCTTAAGCCCTTGAAGCCTGAAACCCTGAAGCCCTTAAACCCTTGAGTCCTGAAACCCTTAAACCCAGAATCCCTTAAACCAATGAATCCTGAAGCCCTTAACCCTTGAATCCTGAAACCCTTAAACCCTTCACCACCCAAAGCTGCCAATCAGATCGACAATGTCTTTGTTGTCGGGGAAGTCTCCAGGATCCCAACTCACGGCTTCCTGCAGGTTTACCCTAAGCAAGCTTAGACTGGATAGGGTTTAGGGTTTAGGGTTTAGGGTTTAGGGTTTAGGGTTTAGGGTTTAGGGTTTAGGGTTTAGGGTTTAGGGTTTAGGGTTTAGGGTTTAGGGTTGAGGGTTGAGAGTTTAGGGTTCAGGGTTTAGGGCGTATGGTTTAGCAGGAAATAATGCTCGGGTTACTTTAAACCCCCCCCCCCCCGCCCCAGATTCTGTTTTGGTTTCCGGGGTTTGGGGGTTTGGAGGGTGGAAAAAAAGAGGGGGTGCAAATAAAGAATTCTGGGGGTCTGGGTCTGGGTTCTGGGGGGGGGGGGGGGGGGGGGGGGCAGCTGTCAAGGAGGGTCTGCATTGGCTTGTTTTGAAGGGTTCTGCTTGCTCTCTGCAGCTCCTGTTGCTCTGCGATCGCGACCCTGTGTCTGAAGACTCAAGCTCTGCAAGCCAGCTCAGTTGTAAACTCTTCTCTGAAATGGAACTCTTAAGCAATCTTCAGCAAAATGTTCGATTCCTGGCCAGCTGAATTTTGCAACTGTCACCCCATCATTTTCTTCATCGGACCCCCTATATGGGTTTGTTTACAGACATCAGCCCGAAAACCTGCCGTAATGGAAAGTAGTCTTGGGCCGGGGCCCTCTGGCCCGGCGAATATTACTGTTACCACCGCATTTAAAGATATAACGTTTGCATTACCCTGAATATAAACAAGGCACCCAAAACACACAAGGTAGCATTCGCATGCTCACCCTTAACCCTAAGCCGTAAACCCAAAACCCCAAAACCTAGACCCAAGACCTTAAACCGGACCTAAGCAAGCCCCTAAGTACCCCTCCACTCTTTGCCCGAGGAATTGCAGAGTTCGGGTGTAGGCCTTGGGGTGCTCTGCACTTTCTGTGCATTTAGCACTGAGGGGTGGGGCAATGCAGGCATGCGGAGAGGGTGGGGGCGGGGGGTATCTAACCCTAACCCTAAACCCTAAACCCTAAACCCTAACCTAAACCCTAAACCCTAAACCCTAAACCCTAAACCCTAAACCCTAAACCCTAAACCCTAACCTAAACCCTAAACCCTAACCCTAACCCTCAGGAACTCGGCCACAACACCTCAAGCCATGCACGCGACAAGGACTCTGGGATGCGCCGTCCTTGGCGTAGAGGGCCGCCTCAAATTCAAAAATTACTTCGCTGAAGTGCTGCTGAAGCAGCTCCTTAGTGAAGGTCGCCGTCATGGATGTAGGTGGCAGGGAGGGAGAAGGGGGGGATGTAGGGTTTAGGGTTTAGGGTTTTAGAGCTGAGGGTGCAAAAAGGGGTTGAGGACAGATGCGACGGCGGATACATGCGCAATTCTCTGAGTTTCTTCATGCACGTTTGTCTCTAGCGAGACCTTGCAACGTGCTGCACATGCAGCCGGGCCCTTTGCCCAAATGCAACACACACATCCTCTCAATGTGCAAAGCCGAGCATCATTCGTAAAATTGATGCAGAGCTGCTCGAACGAGTTGTGTTCCTTGCTGATGAACCCTTGCAACCACCTAGCAAACACTGCTAGTTGGCCCCAACCTTTCAGACTGATCGACCCACACACCCTACAATCCCCACAATCCCTACAAAGCATGAAGACGCGGAGATCGGCAATCTGTCCGGTGCACTCCCTCACAAGTCATGTCCGATGCAGAAGCACCACCATGGTGTAATTAATCATGTGTTAATGGTTTAGGGTTTAGGGTTTAGGGTCATTTGAAGAGTTTGTCTGAGCAGGAGGCGAAAAACTCGAATCCAAAGATGTCCAGAACCTCAGCTGCCCATCATCGCAGCCCAGAGCTTGTGCATCAGGAGGCCTTGCTGTCGTGATCTTTTGGCCCTCTAGGAGAAGGCTACGAAGAAACTCCTTGGGGCCTGTGCTGTAAAGTCTTCTAGCTTGTACAGCGTACAGAGTAGCTAGAGACAGAAAATGGGCAACTTTTGGTTCTGTGGATTCCTTTGCTCTGCTTGTTGTGTTGAAGTTGTACCTCAGAGCATCTTTGCCCAGCCATTGTGAAAAAGAAGCGCCTGCGCGAACTTCGCTCAGTCGGTGATGTCCCTCCCAGGCCTTCCCCTTCAACACTAACCCTAAACCCTAAACCCTAAACCCTAAACCCTAAACCCTAAACCCTAAACCCTAAACCCTAAACCCTAAACCCTAAACCCTAAACCCTGAACCCAAACATAGCACTGGAAGTCTCGGGGCTGACTGAGCTGGTCGGCAGACAGGATGCTGCATGTCGTGATACGACAGATGGACAGGCATATGGGTGTTTCCCTAAACTGTAGGGGTACCCCCCCCCCCCCCCCCCCCAATATTCCCCAAGCTTCTCGAATCCTTGTTATAGGAGCCCTAAACAAACCCTAAACCCTAAACCCCAAACCCTAAACCCGAACCATGAACCCTAAACCCTAAACCTTAAACCCTAAACCCCCTAATTTTCAGGCCCAGAAGCGCCAACATAGGGCTGCGCCGAGCTGGGATGTCGGGCGGAGCCCGGGGAGAGGGCGTCGTTGATGCGACGGACTATGTACCTGAAGAGGGAGTCTTAGGCTTCTAGGGTTTAGGGTTTAGGGTTTAGGGTTTAGGGTTTAGGGTTTAGGGTTTAGGGTTTAGGGCTTAGGGTACCTGATGACCCCCCGGTTCTTAGTAGGGAATGAGGGAATTATGGCCCTACATATACATACATGCCCTTACCTCATTCCAACATTCCCTACTAAGAACCAGCCTGATGAGGGAGTTTGGGCTCAGGGTTTAAGGGTATGGGGTCTCGGGATTAGGGTGTGGCGTTTAGGGAAGTTTAGGGTTCAGAGGGTATATGGGGTTAGAGGGTGTAGGATTCAGGGGGGCCTATATTGGGTTTAAGGGTTATAAGCCCAGTAAACCTCCAAGCAGCTTCTGAAAACCCAATCCTTGAGTTAAGAACGTTGAGGCGACCCTACACCTCCAACATCTTTGGGAGAGTGCCAGGATCTTAAGAGGCAGGGTGGGGCACAGCGGTGTTTGCTCCTGATCCCAAAGCACTTCCGCAAGCCCAAGTTTCGGCTCATGGCTTCGGGGTGTAGGGTTGATCGACATTGCGGGCCGTTGCTAGGACCCGAAACGGTGTCAAAGACCCTAAACCCTAAACCCTAAACCCTAAACCCGAAACCCTAAACCCTAAACCCATAGCCAAGAAGCAGGAAAATTGTCCCGTAGAGGTGCCGGGCTAGCGCATCCCGTCCCTCCATGGCCTCTCAGGGGCAAGTTGTGGTCAGAGCGCTACAGACAAGTTAGGGTTTAGGGTTTAGGGTTTAGGGTTTAGGGTTTAGGGTTTAGGGTTTAGGGTTTAGGGTTTAGGGTTTAGGGTTTAGGGTTTAGGGTTTAGAGTTTAGGGTCCAGCTTGCCAGGTTCAGCGGAGATGGTCGTCCACAATGTCCTTCACATCTAGGGGGCCACTAGGCGTTTGGCGAGCTGGTGGCTAAGCTTCCTTGGTCTTCAAGGCCCCCTACGCCCCCAAAGCCTAAACCCTAAACCCCCGAACGGCCCTTAACCCTACACCCTAAACCTCGGCCCCAAACCAGTCTCTTTGGGTTGAAAGAAAAAGGAACCCCCAATCCGCGAACCTTATGGTTATGGGTACTTTCAAGGTCCAGATATACTGCGGTGGGATTGAGGCCCACCCAAACAAGAAACCCCAAACCCTAATCCCTGAACGCCACTCACCGAACCCCATTCCCTGAACCCCAATCCCGAAACCCCAAACATCCCTGAAAACTGAACCCTAGAATCCCTAAGCCCAAGCCTGAAACCGCTAAACCCTGAAATCCCTAAGCCCCAAGCCCCAAGCCCCAAGCCTTCCAAATCCCTTAAACCCCAAACCCTAAACCCCCCCCCCCCCCCCCCAAACCCTAAGCCCACCCTAACCCTAAAACCCCTAACCCCCAAAACCTAAACCTAAACCGCAAACCCTAAACCCTACAATTCCCAAACTCTACGCCCCAGGTTTCCCCGCCTGGATCACAAAACCCTAAACCCCAAAAACCCAAAACCCTAAAACCTAAATCCTCAGCCCTAAACCCTAAACCCTAAACCCTAAACCCTGAGGCCCAGCCTGGACCACCGTCCGCGTCTGGGTGATGGTCTGCCGAGCGGAGCGCTCTCCTACGACCTCCGCCGCGCCGAAGCTGCAGGGTTCAGGGTTCAGGGTTTAGGGTTTAGGCTAGTTTAGGGTTTATGGGTTTTCTAGTTTAGGGCTTAGGGCTAGGAATTAGGAAGGGGGGGAGATTCCCGACATGCCCCGTTATGATGTGGCCCCTTATATTCAGGGCAAAGCGCCTCCAAACAAATTGGGGGGGGGGGGTCCAAGCCTCAACTTCCCCTAAACCCTAAACCCGAAAAGCCCACGAAACCCCATACATCCCGACAAACCCTAGAACCCCTGGAAAACCCTTATAGGCCCCCACAGATCCGAAAAAACCCTATCAACCCAAAACCTCGAACCCCATAAAGCCTATAAGTCGTATAAACCCTATAATACCCTATAAGCACAATAAGCCCAATAAGCCCCATAAAACCTAGACACACTATACACACCCTAACCCCATAAACCCTAAAAACCCTACAAACCCTAAAAACCCTTTAAACCTTCTAAACCCTCTAAACCCTCTAAACCCTAAACCCCAAACCCCAAACCCTAAACCCTAAACCCCAAACCCCAAATCCCAAACCCTAAACCCTAAACCTCTCCAGCGAAACAGCCCCCCAGCCTGCATCTTCCGCAGGCATAGCATGGCCTCGAGCTGGTCCATCTCCACTCCTAACCTCAAGAGGGCTTTAGGGCTTTTGGGGTGGCTTTAGGGAATTACCAACCCTAAGCCCTAGCCCTAAACCCTAAACCCTAAACTTAAAAACCTAACGGGTTGTTGTTTAGGGGCTTTAGGGGCTTTGGGGGGCCTTGTTAAGGGCTTTTTGAAGGCTTTTTAGGGGCTTGTTAAGGGCTTTTAGAGGGCTGTTTAAGGGCTCTTTAGGGCTTCTTAAGGGCTTTAGGGTTTAGGGCGTTTTTAGGGTATGGGGGTTGGAGTTTTAGGGTTTAGGGCTTTAGGGGTTAGGGCTTGGGGTTTTAGGGTTTAGGGGTTGGGGGTTTTGGGGTTCTGGGGTTCCAGGGTTCCAGGGCTTTAGGGCTTTAGGGTTGAGGGTTTGGGCTTTTAGGCTTTGGGGTCTGGGGTTTGGGGTTTGTCTGAAATGACCTCATGGGCGTTAGGGTTCAGGGGTTTACGGTTTAGGGTTTTTGCGTTTGCGGTCTTAGGGTTTAAGGGTTGGGGTTTTAAGGGTTTAGGGTTCGGGGTTCGGGGTTCGGGGTTCACGAAATCCTCTCTCTGTTCATCCCTGAAGCCCGGAACACTAAGCTTGCCTCGAAAGCCCTCAACTGCAAACCCAACACAATCTGGCTTGTGAGGAGCGTATGTCAGTAGACCCTATAACCCTAAAACCCTAAAACCCCAAAACCATAGAACCCGAAAATGCTAGAACCCTAAAGCCCGAAAACCCTAAAACCCCCAAGGCCCAAATCCTAAAACCCTCAAACCCTAAAACTACTAAAACCCGAAGTCCCAAAACCCCAAGACCCTAAACCAGCAGGGCTTGGGCTTCGGGTTACCCTAAACCCTATACCCTAAAACCCAGACCCTGAAACCCTGAAACCCTAAAAGCCTAAAACCCTAAAGCCCTAAAACCCTAAAACCCTAAACCCTAAACCCTAAAGCCCTAGAGCCCCAAAACCCTAAAACCCTAAACCCTAAACCCTAAAGCCCTAAAGCCCTAAAACCCTAAACCCCTAAACCCTAAACCCTAAACCCTAAACCCTAAACCCTAAACCCTAAACCCGAAAAGAGGCTTCGAGGTTCCCAGAGGGGCCAAGTAGCAGGTCACTCGCAAAGGCGAGGCAGCCATCGGATTTCGAGGCAGCGCTCACCTGTGGCGTCGACCCCGCGTCCGAAAGCTTTGGGTTTAGGGTTTAGGGTTTAGGGTTTAGGGTTTAGGGTTTAGGGTTTAGGGTTTAGGGTTTAGGGTTTAGGGTTTAGGGTTTAGGGTTTAGGGTTTAGGGTTTAGGGTTTAGGGTTTAGGGTGGACCGTAACATATAAAGGATGGACCCAGGCAAGCGAAATCCAATTCAGGGTCTGGACACTTCTATCCAGCCCCCCCCCCCCCCCAAATCGAAACCATCATGCAACCCCAAACCCTAAAATCTAAGGACTCTTACTTTCAGGTTCTTCGACCCAAAGGCCTTCTTGTCTAGGCTTTGGGTCTATTTTGAGCGTAAGGTCTAGGTCTAAACTTAAGACTTAAACACCCTAAACCCTAAACCCGAAACCCGAGACCCTAAAACCCTAAAACCCTAAACCCCTAACCCAAAACCCGAGGTAAGTAAAGACACGAAACCGGCATTGCCCCAGCGTCGGCCTGCGAGCCCTCTGAGTTTCCTTCCGCCGCCTCCCGGAAGCGTTTCTGGGGCTTGAATGCTGGGGTGCCCCGAATTTAAGTTCAAACCCTAAACCCTAAACCCTAAACCCCAAACCCTAAACCCTAAACCCTAAACCCTAAACCCTAAACCCTAAACCCTAAAGCCTAAACCCTAAACCCTAAAGCCTAAACCCTAAACCCTAAACCCTAAACCCTAAACCCTAAACCCTAAACCCTAAACCCTAACCCCTAAACCCTAAACCCTAAACCTTCTCTTACTATGTATATTTAAACCCTAATGACCTTCGTCGGCATATTGTTTTTTTCCCCGGGCGGGGGCCCTAAACCCTGACGCCCTTCGTCGGCATGTTGTTTTTTTTCCCCGGGCGGGGGCCCTAAACCCTGACGCCCTTCGTCGGCATATTGTTTTTTTTCCCCGGGCAGGGGCCCTAAACCCTGACGCCCTTCGTCGGCATATTGTTTTTTTTCCCCGGGCGGGGGCCCTAAACCCTGACGCCCTTCGTCGGCATATTGTTTTTTTTCACCCTAAACCCTGACGCCCTTCGTCGGCATATTGTTTTTTTTCCCCGGGCGGGGGCCCTAAACCCTGACGCCCTTCGTCGGCATATAGTTTTTTTTCCCCGGGCGGGGGCCCTAAACCCTGATGCCCTTCGTCGGCATATTGTTTTTTTTCCCCGGGCGGGGGCCCTAAACCCTGACGCCCTTCGTCGGCATATTGTTTTTTTTCCCCGGGCGGGGGCCCTAAACCCTGACGCCCTTCGTCGGCATATTGTTTTTTTTTCCCCTTTTTTTTCTCTGGGGGGGGGGGGGCCTAAAACCCTGACCGGCCCTTCGTCGTCAATATTATTTTTTTTTTTTTTGTTTTTTTTTTTTTTTTCTTTTTTTTTTTTTTTTTTTTTTTCTTTTTTTTTCCCCCGCCCTAAACCCTACCGCCCCCTGACGCCCTTCGGTCGGCAATATTGTTTTTTTCTCCCCCCCTTCAACCCCCACCCCCCCCCCCCCCCCCACCCTCCCCCCCCACCCCCCCCACCCCCCACCCCCGCACGCCCCCCCCACCCCCCCCCCCCCCCCCAAACCCCCCAACCCACCGCCCCCCCCCTTACACCCCCCCCCCCCCCTCCCCCCCCAACCCCCCCCCCCCCATCCCCCCCCCCCCCCCCCCCCCCCCCCCCCCCCCCCCCCCCCCCCCCCCCCCCCCCCCCCCCCCCCCCCCCTCCACCCCCCCCCCCCCCCCCCCCCCCCCCCCCCCCCCCCCCCCCCCCCCCCCCCCCCCCCCCCCCCCCCCCCCCCCCCCCCACCCGCCCCCCCCCCCCCCCCCCCCCCCCCCCCCCCCCCCCCCCCCCCCCCCCCCCCCCCCCCCCCCCCCCCCCCCCCCCCCCCCCCCCCCCACCGCCCCCCCCCCCCACCCCACCCCGTTCCCACCCCACAACCCTCCCAATTCCCATCCAGCAGAGGTTTGATTTCGGTTTTGGGTTAACTGGACCTTGAGCTTTAAGCCTACTGGGAATGTCTTGAGTGAACTTTGTATTTTCTCAATGTTATGGGTTTCCTGGGTGGGTGGGGTTTTATTCCAACGCTTGACAAGCTGCTTGACTAGTAAATGCTCGGACTTGAGATGCTGAACCCTAAACCCTAAACCCTAAACCCTAAACCCTACCGGCGCGCCTCGGCCTCGGCCTCGCCCCCAGCCTCGTCCTCAGCTGCCGCGGCGACCGACATGAAGTTCACGGCCTCCGAAGGGCCACGTTTAGGGTTTAGGGTTTAGGG